AAGCAAGCCAGCCAAGGCGATGGAAGGAGACGCTCACGACTTGGGACAAGTGACTTCTCAGACAGACAAAGCGAGGCAAGGAGAGGGAAGGCGATGCAAGACGAGGCAGGGCGAGGCAAGGGAAGTCCAGGCAAGGCGAGTGAAGCCAGGCAAGTCCAGGCACGGCGAAGCAAGTCGTTGGCAATGCGAGGCAAGGCGAAGCAAGTTGAGTCAAGGCGGGGCAATGCTAGGCACGGCGAAGCAATGCCATTCAAGGCTAGGCAAAGCCAGGCGAGGCGAGGGAATTCGAGGAAAAGCGAGGCAAATTGAGTAAAGACGAGGCTTGGCGAGGGAACGCGAAGCAAGACGAGGCAGGGCGAGGCAAGGCGAAGTGAGGCGAGGAAATGCGAGGCAAGCGAGATATGGCTATGGAAGGCGAGGCATGACGAGACAGGGAGAGGCAAGGAGAGGCAAGGGTGGGCGATGCAAACCAAGGCGAGGCAGGGTGATGCAAGCGAAGCATCGCGAGGGAAAGCGCGGCTAAACGGGGCATGGCGAGGCAAGGCAACGGAAGGCCAGGCCAGGCGAGACAAGGCAAGCGAGACATGTATAGGGAATGCGAGGCAAGGCCAGTTAAAGCAAGGTGAGGGGAGGCAAGGCGAGGCCAGGGAAGGAAAGGGAAGGCGAGGCCAGGCCAGGCAAGGAAAGGGAAGGCGAGGTAATGCGGGGCAAAGCAAGGCCAGGCAAGTCTAGGCAAGACCAAGGCAAGGCGAGGGATGGCAAGCAAGGCCAGGCAAGGCCAGTTAAATCAAGGTAAGGGGAGGCAAGGAAAGGCGAGGCAAGGCCAGGCCAGGCAATTCTAGGCAAGGCCAGGCAAGGTGCGGAAAGGCTAGGCAAGAATAGGCAGGCGAGGCAAGGCGATGCAATTTCAGGCAAGGGCAGGCAAGACCATGCAAGGCCAGACAATGCCAGGCAAGGCGAAGCAAGGCTTGGCAATACGGGTCAAGGCGAGGCAAGGCCAGGCAACTCGAGGCACGGCGCACCAAATCCAGCCAAGGCGAGGGAAGACGAGGCAAGGCCAGGCAAGGCGACGTAAGTCGAGGTAAGGTGATTTAAGGTCAGGCAAGGCCAGGCAAGTCCAAGCAAGACCAGGGAAGGACAGGCAAGGCAAGGTAAGGCTAGGCTAGCGAGGCAAGGCGAGGGAAGGCCAGGCAAGGTGATGCAAGGCAAGGCAAAATCAGGCAAGGCGAGGGAAGACGAGGCAAGACGAGGCAGGGCGGGACAGGACGAGGCAAGGCGAGGCAATGCAAGTGAAGGCCAGGCAATGGGAAGCAAGCCAGCCAAGGCGATGGAAGGAGACGCAAGGCGAAGCAAGGTCAGGCAAGGCCAGGCAGAAACAGATAAGGCCAGACACGGCGAAGCAAGGCGGGGCAATGCGAGGCAAGGCCAGGCAAGTCGAACCAAGGCGAGGCAAGGCGAGGCAAGTTCAGGCAAGGCTAAGCAATGCGGGGCAATGCGAGTTACGGCGAAGCAAGGCCATTCAAGGCGAGGCAAAGCAAGGAATGCCAGGCAAGACGAGGGAAGTCGAGGCAAAGCGAGGCGAGGCAAGGCGAAGTGAGGCGAGGGAAGGCAGGCAAGGCCAGTTGAAGCAAGGAAAGGGGACGCAAGGCCAGGCAAGACAAGGGAATGCGAGGCAAGGCGAGGGAAGGCAGGCAAGGCAAAGCAAGGCCAGGCAAGGCCAGTTAAAGCAATGTAAGGGGAGGCAACGCAAGGGAAGGCGTGGCAAGGCGAGTCAGGGCAAGGTCAGGCAAGGCGAGGGAAGGCAGGCAAGGCCAAGCAAGGCCAGTTAAAGCAAGGTAAGGGGCGTCAAGGCGAGGCAAGGCAAGGGTAGGCGAGTCAGGGCAAGGCAAGGCGCGGAAAAGCGAGGCAAGGCGATGCAAGTTCAGGCATGGGCAGGCAAGGCCAGGAAAGACCATGCAAGGCCAGACAATGCCAGACAAGGCGAAGCAAGGCTTGGCAATACGGGTTAAGGCGAGGCAAGGCTAGGCAACTCGAGGCAAGGCGCACCAAGTCCAGCAAAGGCGAGGGAAGACGAGGCAAGGCGATTTAAGATCAGGCAAGGCCAGGCAAGTCTAAGCACGCCCAGGGAAGGACAAGCAAGGCAAGGTAAGGCTAGGCATGCGAGGCAAGACGAGGGAAGGCCAGGCAAGGTGATGCAAGGCGAGGCAAAATCAGGCAAGGCGAGAAAAACGAGGCAAGGCGAGGGAAGACGAGGCAAGGCGATTTAAGATCAGGCAAGGCCAGGCAGTGCCAGATAAGGCCAGACACGGTGAAGCAAGGCGGGGCAATGCCAGGCAAGTCGAACCAAGGCGAGGCAAGGTCAGGCAAGGCCAGGCAGTGCCAGATAAGGCCAGACACGGTGAAGCAAGGCGGGGCAATGCCAGGCAAGTCGAACCAAGGCGAGGCAAGTTCAGGCAAGGCGGCGGCATTGCGAGGCACGGCGAAGCAAGGCGATTCAAGGCGAGGCAAAGCAAGCAATGCCAGGCAAGACGAGGGAAGTCGAGGCAAAGCGAGGAAAGGCGAGGCATGGCGAGAGAAGGCGTGGCTTGGGGAGGTAAGTCGAGGCAGGGCGAAGCAAGGCGATTCAAGGCGAGGCAAAGCAAGCAATGCCAGGCAAGACGAGGGAAGTCGAGGCAAAGCGAGGAAAGGCGAGGCATGGCGAGAGAAGGCGTGGCTTGGGGAGGTAAGTCGAGGCAGGGCGAAGCAAGGCCAGGCAAGGCGAGGCATGACAAGGAAAGGTGAAGCAAAGCGAAGCAAGTCGAGGCAAAACGAGACATGGAGAGGCAAGGCAAGGCCAGGCAAGGCTAGGTAAGGCCAGGCACGGCGAGGCAAGCGAGGCATGGCGGGGGAAGGTGAGGCAAGGCGTGGCAAGCGAGGCAAGGATAGGGAAAGTCAGGCAAGCGAGACAAGGCGGGGCAAGGCGATAAAGGGCGAGGCAAGGCGTGGCAAGCGAAGCAAGGCGAGGGAAGTCGATGCAAGGTCATGCAAGGCGAGGCAAAATCAGGCAAGGCGAAGAAAACGAGGCAAGGCGAGGGAAGCAAGGCAAGGTTAGGCAAGCGAGGCAAGGCGATGCAAGGCAAGGCAAGCGAGGGAAGGCGAGGCAAAGCCAGGCAAGGTCAGGAAGTAAAGGCAAGGCGATGTAAGTCGAGGCAAGGCAATGTCAGACAAGGCCGAGTAAGGCGGGACAAGGCAAGGCCAGGCAAGACGAAGCAAGGCCAGGCAAGGCGAGGCAAGGCCAGGTAAGGCCGAATAAGGCGGGGCAAGGCAAGACGAAGCAAGGTCAAGCAAGGCTAGGCAAACGAGGCAAGGCGATGCAAGATAAGGTAAGGGCAGGCAAGGCCAGGCAATGCGGGCATGGTCAGGCAAGGCCAGGCACGGCGATGCAAGACGAAGCAAGGCGAGACAAGGCCTTGCAAGGCCAGGCAACTCGAGGTAATGTGAGCCAAGCAAGGCGGGGCAAAACCAGGCAAGGTCAGGCAAAGGCAGGAAGTCCAGGCAAATCAGGCACGGCCAGGCAAGTCAAGACAACACCAGGCAAAGTGAGGTAAGGCGAGGTACTGTGAGGCAAGTCGATGCAAGGTCAGGCAAGTCATGGCAAGGCCAGGCGAGGGAAGTCGAGGTAAGGCGAAGCAAGGCGATTTAAAGTAGGGCAAGGCCATGCAAGGCAGGGAAGTACAAGCAAGGCGAGGCAAGGTAAGGGGAGGCAAGGCGACGCAAGGCCAGGCAAGGCGAGGCAAAGCGTGGGAAGGCGAGGGGAGGCCAGGCAAGGCAAGGGAAGGCGAGGCTAGGCGACGCAAGGCGGGGCAAGGCAAGTCAAGGCCATGCAAGTCTAGGCAAGGCGCGGAAAGGCGAGGCAAGGCCAAGAGAAGCGAAGAAAAGCGAGACAAAGCGAGGCAATGTGAGACAAGGCCTGGTAAATCGAAGCAAAGCCAGGGAAGTCCAGGGAACGCAAGGCAAGGCCACGAGGCTCGAGGAAAGGCCAGGCAAGGCAGGCAAGGACATGCAAGGCCAGGCAAGGCGAGGCGAAGTAAGGCAAGGCAAGTGCAGGCAAACCAAGGCCAATTAGGGTAAGGCGAGGCAAGGCAAGGCCAAGCTAGGCCAGGCAAGGGAAGACCAGGCCAGGCCAGGTAATGCAAGACCAGGCCAGGCTAAGCAAGGCAAGGCCAGGCCAAGCAAGGCGAGGCAAGTCTAGCTAAGGCAAGGCAATTCCAGGCAAACCAAGGCCAGGTAAAGCAAGGCATAGCCAGACCAGGCAGGCGTAGTCGTCCGAACCCTCAGCTGATAAGTTTTTATTTACTTTATATTAGTTTAATGCATCTTATTCATAAGTTAGTTGATCTACTGGCGACATGTTATTGAAAACATGCCCCCGTAGCACGTCTGTTGGTGGAAGACCTATTTTGTTCTATTGCCTAGGAATGCTACGACGCTGCACTAGGGAACCTCCTTTGTGTAGCATTTCACTTAAGAGCTAAGCCCTATTGTTAAATCTTAAGATGAGACACGTCAGATGGCACTGCGTACTACCTAAGGTCTCTGCCTTACGTACCGTCTCTAACGGACACCTATCTGCCGGACTCGGTCTCTTGACGATTCGGTCTCTGCATCTCCATGTCTGTGGCAAGACGACTCTGAAAGACCGTGTCAGGCTGAAAACGGATCAAGCAGAGATCGCGTATTGCAGACCGCGTCCAGCAGCAGACACATAAAGACAGAGACCGGCAGGGAGCGTGTGAGGCAGATACCGAGTGTGCAGATAACGTCTCAGGTAGCGACGTAGTCTGGCAAAGACCGGGAAGGTCAGAGACTGGTTCTGGTATTAATATGGCAGGGAAATTTTTTAAAAAAAATTCAAAATTTCTTAAAAAAAATTTCAAAATTTTTGAAAATTTTAGAAAAATCTAAAAATGCAGGAAATTGTGTTAAAAGCTCACTAAACAACAAATTTTCGAAATATTTGAAAAAAATTTGAAGTTGAAATTTTTCAAAATTTATTAGTTTTGTACGCTTTTTAGGCAATTTCCAGAATTTTTTATTTTTTAAATATTTGAAATTTTTTTCAAAATTTTCCCCGCCCGATCTAAAAAGCTCACAAAGCCAAAATTTTCGAAATATTTGAAAAATTCTGAAGTTCAAATTTTTCAAAATTTATTAGTTTTGTGCGCTTTTTAGGCAATTTCTAGCATTTTTTGAATTTTTGAAAATTTTGAGTTTTTTTTAAATTTCTCCCCACCCGATCTCTGTCTACCTGTCACTGCCATACCGTCTCTAACGTACACGGTCTCGGGTCTCTTGACGATCTGGTCTCTGTATCACCATGTCTCTGGCAAGGCGTCTCTGCAAAGGCCGTGTCAGGCTGAGAATGGCTGAAGCAGAGACCGCGTCCGTCAGAAAAAGGGTAAGACAGAGACCGGCTTAATCCGAGACCGGGTAATGCAGTCACCTGGTCTGGCAGGGAACACGTTTCGTGTATTGTAAAAACAATTCTGAACTTTTTCAAAATTTTCAAAATATCAAAATATGCTGAATATTGTCCAAAGAGCGCACAAATCTAAAAAAAAAATTTTTTTTCCAATATTTCGAAAATATTTGGTTTTGTGCGTTTTTAGACAATTTCCAGCACAATTTAGATTTTTAGAAAATTTCATTTTTTTTTTTCAAAATTGCTCTTTGGATGTAAGATACAAGCAACATTTAGTGTGTTTTAATTTTGAGATCAACGGGTCTACAAGAAAAATAATGCAAAATATCAAGGTAAGTAGGAAAAGCCTCATAATATAAATCACAATGCATAATTTACTCAGAAACAGATATATACATTTTCAAAAAATAAATTATTGTTATAAATTATCTCATAAGACATTCATGCTAAATATATTAGTTACTTTTATTCTTCAATATTGGCTGGCACTCCCATAATTTAATATTTTAAAATATTTACTACATATATGTGAAGGTACATTTCTGATACAATTGGACATGATGTCATACACAACGTATCTAATTTCACTCCAGATGAGGTGAACTCAACAGAAACACTGTGTAACGAATGATACAAACTTCAACTCACTGTTAATCACATAGCAATGAAATGCTTTAGTGACTTTATGACAATAATAAGCTTCTTTGTGTCTTAAATTTTATATATTTTTTGCTCAGGATTCTACGGATTTCTGGCGCATATTTCAAAATGCATCTTACACTGATGTATAAATATGGTAAATATGAAAAATATGGCTTTAATATAGCCTTCATGTAGTCTGTGTACATCCCACTTGCAATATCCTATTTACAATTCAGTTAGTGATATGTATTTTTATTAAGTCAATCTTAACAGGGCTACAGTAAACACAGCAGCTCCAGGTTTCATTCCGCACAAAAACATTACACAAAATTTTTAGCATTATAAACAACAGATTTCAAAGGGCAATGCTGAAGATAACTTCATCAAGAGTCTCAAAAGTCAACATGCCAAGAATGAATTTAACAATTAATTCATTGATTGAAAATAAAGTAAAAAGCAGTAAAGTACTTATATTACGTGATTTGTATATAATTTTATATATAAATGTGGCTGTCATGTACATTTACTTATTACTGTTGCCAACATCATAATTCCTTCTTCTTCTATGGCTCTCAGGTCCGTATTCGGTCCATGGCCTCCTCAATTCTCCTCTACCATTCAGTCCCATCCTCCGCTGCTCTGTTAGGTCCGTCTGTCAGAGGCTTTTCATAATTCCTTACTTCTATATTAATCAGTTTTCTACAGGATCAACAACCTCTCATACAAACTATAAATGACATGACTAAGAATGGCTTGCTGACTCTGTGAGCCAGTCCAGAACAGCATAAAACATATATAATGTTATTTTTTTAGAAGTAATCATAAAATATGTTAATCATTCCCCACAACAATGAAGTAAACTGGAGTTCAACGTAAAGAGATACTTCTGCGGTTCTGTAATACAGCATGACATTTAGTGGCACCAAACACAGTGTTACAACTCCTCCCACCAACAGCATCAAACATCACTACTGTCGACTTGAGAAAAGTAATTACATATAGCCTGAAGAAAAGTGGTCAGTTACCAGAAGATAAACCTTTCTGCATGGCATTATGATTGCAGTCTGTCTCTACAGAAGGTGTCATTATGGACAGGTCATGGTAAAACCTAACAAGAGCAATAAATTGAATGTGAGATAAGATTGAGACCAACAGAAGTACTTCAGTACCATCTTTAGCCTCCTCTTTGCCATAGCCGATTATATTTAAGCATATCATGTTGGTTACCAGGTGCAGTATCAATTAATATCTTATTTAAAAGCCAGTTTTATTTTTTTAGTTAGATCAACAACAAAGATGTATGAAGTTTATGACACACAAGAATTCAGAAATTATTAAATTACCTCATAAACACACACATCATAATACATAATAATGAGACAGAATCTGGGTATAAAATCAGAGAGAAAAAGTTCAGTTGAAGTCTTCAAAAATACATTTCTAGAGGTTTTCATGATTCACTGGGCAAAAATGGATGCAAAATCAAACTGAGAAACAAGAGACATGAGGATATTGCATAGGCAGAGAAAATAAAATATTCCGGCAATATAATCCTGAGAAAATAAGTTGGCTCAACACCATACTGAGAAAACAGATACAGCCATTATTATACAAGATTTACAAGAAGATGGGAGGAAATTCAATGCTCAGCAGTTGTACAGTAAGGGAAAAGGAAACCTATAATGACAGAACTCTGAAAAAGGAAGATAAAGATGAAGGTGGTAGTGGTGGCAGCAGTGGTTTGGATGACAACAAATGACTATAAAACAATGAGTCGGAAACCCGTGTCACCTATTATGGATTCTGAGTAAACTTGGTCAGCAAATAATGGCACTGAAATCCTTTTGGGTGTCAACGTTGAGTCAAGATCAGCGTTCTGAAAACCTGCTGTCTGCATCGTGAAGGTCAAAAAGGAGGAAAGACCTGAAGTCAACATATATATTTATCAGAGTATATGCATTGCCCCCTCCCTATTGGTGCGCAGAGCACAGTACCATTTGAGCAGTCTCCCATCCCTGTCTTGTACTGCTTCCATCTTGCTTAACTGAGAGAATGACCCTCTGTGTCTGTTATCATCAGACTTCTTTAACACTCTGACCCCAACAGCTGTACCAGTACTATCAATCTCCTTTAGCCAACATAACAGAGAATGTAATAGAAGAATCTTAACTTTAAAAAGCACAAACACAAACCGTGATACTGACATGAACTTTTTAGTGTTTTCTAGTGCTACTTGTCATCACTAACAGTCTCTGACTTACATCTCTATAATGTCGCTTCAAGCAATGCAGGACCACACAGCATTATAGCCCAGAAAACAACAATCAACAGAGAGCAGACTGAACAGAGAACTACTTGTTTTGTCAAACTATTCCTAAAATTCATTTCACATGTTCACTGTTTCTCCAAAAAAATGTCACTTCACATCTACTGCACCTTTCCAATGCTGTTCATTTTTCTCACTTCAACAGATCTTTCTGTCTCGTTAAATCCCCCCCACCCCCAAACAAAAGGCCAGAAGATGAGAGATAAGGGAGCATAGCAGTGAGTAAACTCACAGTTTCTAGTCTTCATCCACACTGACAAAATGGCCCTGGACTGTAGATGACTGATGATAGCGTCTCCTAGAAGCAAAATCTTGATTCTCTTCATTCAGTTGAGCTGAGGTTACTTCTACACCTGGATGAATAGGTGTCACCACAATCTGCTCATATTCTTGTACACGTTTACTGAAAAATAAATATATAAAAGCACACAGAATAAACTCAGTCACAGGCACTAAAGTGACTTGGTATGAATGGACAACTGGGGTTCAGTTCCAAGCAGGTGTACTAATTTTTCTTTCCACAAGTGATTCCACACGATCCGTAGGGCTGAAGCATGAAGCTGGCTGCTTACCTATATTATAGTGCCAGGAAAAAAAAATTCATGGAGTTTTAACAATACACATGCTTCATGTCTTCATATGATGCTTAAGCACAGAGACAATTTTGCCTTTCTTTATAAGCATATAGTAAATAGTCTGTCAGCAGGATTTAACTTTGTTGTTTTGAAAGCTATCATTTTTAGAAACAGAAACCATGAAGACATGAAAAATAAAATAGTACAGTGTGTCCACAAAGTCCCTTCGGGGTTTTGAAAAATTGTGGCGCAAACAAATTGAGCTAGCCACATACGGTTTGCGGCAGATTACAGTGAAACTATGGAAGTGCTTTACTGACCTCAGTAGACCTCGATGTGGGCTCCCTTGGTAGCACGGAGAATGTTCAGACGATATTCGAGCTCTTGCCATGTTCTGTGGAGCATGTCCGCTGGAACAGCCGAGATCGCATTCCTGATACGGGTCTTCAGGTCAAGGTGGAGCACCATCTTGTTGCAGAATGATGTGTGGCTAGTGCTCAATTTGTGGTACTGCGTACAGTTCCAGCATGTCCAGGTAGGTGTTCATGTTTCCAGGAAGATGGATCGGCAGAGATGGTCCAATGCCTTGGCCTCCACGTTCGCCAGACATAACACCACTGGATTTTTTCCTGTGGGATTATGTCAAGAGCAATGTGTTCCGAACACCAATTAACGGACTTGATGTCCTGAAGACCCGTATCAGGAATGCGATCTCGGTTATTCCAGCGGACATGCTCCACAGAACATGGCAAGAGCTCGAATATCGTCTGAACATTCTCCGTGCTACCAAGGGAGCCCAAATCGAAGTCTAATGAGGTCAGTAAAAAACTTCCAGAGTTTCACTGTAATCTGCCGCAAACCGCATGTGGCTAGCTCAATTTGTTTGCGCGCCACAATTTTTCAAAACCCCGAAGGGATTTTGTGGACACACTGTAATACAGTGGAACCTTGATATAATACAGGTTTCAGGGGAGAGCTTCGGTACCTGCGTTATATGTGAAATTGACATAAAACATGTAATCGTACTGGAGGACATTATCACAGCCGCAGTATAACGAGGCATGGTATATTGAGGTTCCACTGTATAATTATCTTATGAATTGGAGGCTGAAAACCTTTTTATGGGGGAAAACTGGAACAAATATATCATAGCCATAGATATATAGATGGGTCACAACAAGAAAAATATATTTTACTATAGAGTACAGTGAGCTTCAAAATTTATTCTAAAATACAATCCACATAGTCCTCTGTGTATACTGCTTCTCAATAACATTTTAGAGTGAAAAATGTAAAACCCCATGATTACATTTAATTTGATTTCCAATTCAGAATGTGAACCAGAGATGAAACAGTATAAATAGAGGAAATATGGCCTAACACTGAAACAAAATCTTCAGTTACTAGACAGACATGATGAAAGGGAGTTGTCAATTACTATGGCTGCATATGTTACAAACAGTTAAACACATATATGGAGAAAAATATGTATAATGCTGATTGTGGTCTTGTGTGCTGTGACATTGTTTGGTCTTCTATGTGGTTACCAGCTGGAACTGGAGAAATGTATTGTCTACATCTCCAACTGAAAGATCATATGATGTCACAACCCAGAAGACTGCAACAGAAGTCTTCACTCCTGTGAGAAACTAAAATCTCAGAAAGTATGACACTTTCATTAGTAAAAGAAGTTTTACTGTTTTTATATACAGAAAACAAATTCTTTGCAAAATACAGAAGTATCACTGGGTTGATTAATGCACTCAGGTACTATGACAGTACCGTTACAGGATACTGTAATGAAGCCAACGATGTATCATGCAACTGCAGCTTATGACCTGATACTCTGAACTTCATCACTTCATTGTATCAGTACAAGTAAAGACATGGTAGAGCTTCTTTGTTCAACTCTTTTACCTCCAAACAATATGAAGATTTTAATTTGGGAAATTACCATATTCATGTCTCAGAAAGGACAGTCTCATGGCAGTGAAGATATTGATTGTACTCTTCTATGTCCAGATGTTGTGTGATCTTGTTGATGGATCTACAAGATTACATGGTGTAACATCCAAGCAGACAACAATCTTTATTGACATCTAAAAGAAATTCAGCAGAGACCTTTCAAACACACAAAAATGTTGCTGAATAGACTGATAAATCATTTAAGTACTTACCCCATTAAACGGAGCAGCGCATTCTTAAGCCAAGTGAAGAACCGGAACTCAGACGCTAGGCCGGGCTTGACGGCAGGGTTTGCATGTCCGACGTAGAACCACACCAAGAATACCACGGCAATATTAGCCAGAGCATAGCCCCAATGAACCAAGAACATGATGAGTAGCTTCACAATGGCCTGAACACAGAAGACATTATATCTACATTTAGTGTCACAGACTGGATACACATTAAGAAAAATATGGGCATCAGAAGCAAGTCCATATCCCTGATATCATTATACAATAAATTCTGTCTGAAGTTGAACCTTTTCTTACTACAAAAATTTCTCTGGTCCCAAGAGTAAAATCAAATGTAAAATTATCTCTAATTAAAAGAAACTGTTTAATGTAGAAAGAGAGTTTTAAATAAGGAAATAACAGAATAGCCTGTTTAAACACCTGTACAGAATTCCAAAAACAGAACAGAATATACCAGTCATGTACATGTCAGTACAAAACACCTGCAACTGTTTCTCACAATTTAGACCATTTTATACTGCAGTGCCAACAATAATTTTTATCTCGCTACAAGGCAAGGTCCTTTTGGCATTTATTTCCAAGCACAAATAAAGGACAATATTATATTCATAAATGAAGCAATAAAATGAACACGCTTCAGTGATTTCTGGTAAACTATATACTAATAGAATCATTGTATGTCTAGTGCTATTGTTGACTGCAAATTGTCACTTCCAGTGGAGGGGATGTCTAAGTGGCAAATGAGAAGCAATGGAAGACCAAAAAAGAACAGAAGAGAGTAATTCTAAAACTCAACGAGGTCATTCAACAAAATTTTGGGAAAACAAACATTTTTGAGAGGCAGTACTAGTGTAATAAATGTACTGAGTGTCAAGATGTTAACACTGTTTACATTTTAGAAAATAATGATGTAGTATGAAATTAAATTGATTTTAATCACCCAATTTAAATGTCTATATACTGAAAAATACTAATGTCTTCAGCACCCTATAAGACAAAGAGAGTTGTGTTTTGCCGCATACAATGCTTCAAATTAAACAGAATTTACTAATCTTACAAGAACTACACTTAGCAGGAAAATGTGACGAATGGACTGAGCAAGTCTTAAAACTGGACTCTTCAATTACTTATTATTAATTGTATCTTTTGTACATAATAAAATTCAAAAGACCCACTCATTCCCTTGGAGACAAAGATCATCTAAAATTGAAGAATTTCGTATATAGCTCAAAGAAAACACAGCATTCACGATTACAAAGATATATTTGTTTATGCAGTTGAAGGAAATACTCCCACAAAACCCATAAATACAAAATGCAGAGTTACTGATTACTAAAGCGGATGGTACACTGGGCTTTAAAGGGTTAATGTGAAAATGTCACAGGAGGAAGACAAGAGATTAAAATAATTATTCCTTAAACTATGAAATTTGGAAGGACTTGCCTTATATGTGAGGTCATCTTATACACAAGTAAACATGGCATGAGTCAATCTATGAAGTTTTTAGAAATATAGACACACAAAGCTGGAATACTATTCGCTCCTTACCCCCACAAGGGAAAACCAACGGTTGCACAACCCTGAGTACCAGTTATTTGGCTTTGAATGAATGTGCGTGTCTCGCGCTTGCTGACTCTTCCCAACCTCTTCTTCCCCACTTCGGATACTTGAATGTTCATCTGGTGATGACACTAGACTAGATGTCCCAGAGCTATGCGTTCCCTAATAAGAAACAAAGTACACCGGATTATCAGTAAACCAAAGAAAAGTACATGTTGCATAAGGCCCATTTAAAAGAATATAACACCTTAATATACATTTATAAACTAACACCTCCATGGAGCAAAATCCTTCCTGAGACCACAACAGCTCCACAGTTGGTCAAGTAATTTCCAACCATTCATAAAACATGAAACTTAATTATTCAGCTTACAACAGCCTTCCACTGACCCCTATTCTGAGCCAGATGACTCCAACCCACATCTTCACACCCTGTTCAAGATTAATTGTAATACTATCTTCCCATGTATGCTTTTGTTTCATAAGTTCTCTTGCTTTTAAGTTTGCATTAATTTCACATTCCTTCCACACATGCTACATGACCAACCTAACACTTGGTATTACTTCCTCCATCTTATGTCCAAATATTCTCCTCAGCACCCTTTTTTCAAACACCCTCAGTCTACATTCTTCTTTCAATGAGAGAGATCAACTTTCACCCTGTAACTGGGTATAGCAATGAAGATCTTAATACATTATTAAGTTCATGAGTGTTAGAAACGTTAATACTTCAAGCAATTAGTTTCATTGAACTGCAGAATGAATCCAGTTTGTAAAGAAGGAAGAGATTATAATGCCCTAATGAAAACTTACACAATGTTTCTTATGGTGAGTTCTTTCAGGGAAAAGTTTATCAAGATCATTGCCAAACTTTTCAACTGCTTCTGAATGGTTATGTCCCACAGCTCCATAACCTCCACGAGGACTTGTATCAAATGTTGGGCTCTGGAAATCCTGAGCTTTGAATCGTTCCTCTCTTCTCAACTGTATGTCAAATGTTTGTGCCAGTGCAAAGTATGAATAATCTATAGCAGCATATGTAAGAAGAAATGGCATGGTAACGACTGGTGCCAGTGTGTTGATCTTGCCAACAAGAATAAATGTCAATGTCACTGTTGCAACTACAGCCATAGCATATATAGGAACTTTGTTAGGTCCACGCTGAAACAAAAACAAATAATCAATTCAAATATCCAATACTACACGGACAGCTCAGTCAGTACAATGACTGGATATGGGATGGACAACAAAGGTTTCATTCCCACCAAGGACACAGATTTTTCTCTTTACCACCATGTCCAGACTGGTGTTGAGGTCCAACCATTAATTGGGTATTAAAGGTTGTTTCCGAAGGGGCAAAGTAGCAGAAGCATAAAGCTGGTCACTCATCTACACCTAGTGCTGAGGATAAGGCCTACGTTAGACCTAGTGTGCCTATATCACATCAGTATAGAAATGTATAGCGCTATTATAAAGGTTTTGTTCTGCAAAAGAACGAATTATATAATAATGTAAAAAACATTGCAAGTGCAGGAAAGAATAATTAATGTGGTTAAAAGTAGCTATTTTATAATAAATACCTACATCATTTATTCATCATCCTATCATTCAACATCATACAGTACGAACTGCTGGCAACATTGTTAAACAAATAACGAATAAACAAAAAGGACACTTCGAGCATAGAGAGCTTGTAAGTTTCATTGAATCACTTCACACTTTGTGTCCCACTGCCTTTCAGGGAATGCGTGAATGTAAGCTGTAATAAAACTGACTGTTCACTAAGATTTCAGGTTCTCACAGTGGTGAGTAAGAAGACAACTATCTTCTGGGCTGCTGTGCCTTGTAGTCTGATAGACGTTTACCAGTGTTTCAGAGGTTCTTGCTGCCGCCACCATCGGGGTGATGAGGGGGTGGAAGCATAGCTCCACACACTCTTAAATATTTTCACTAGATGGAGGTGTGTACTCAGCTTCATGCCCCACCTTCTTTAACCCAGGGAAACAGCCCTCAGTCCCGAGGTTAGGGGGAGAGGCAGACCCATTCCAAATAAAGTAGCGAAGACAATTGTATGGTACAACTTAAAATAAACTTGAAAATTTATGACTTTCTCTACCCTTCAAAAATTAAATTAACATCATCTAATCACTGAGATATAGTAGTGTGTTTTAGTTATTTAATGTGGTCATGTGACAGCTCAAGCAGATACATGCTGGGTTTGATACCAGGAGACTTCAAATAAGAACCACCAATAAGACTGAATTATTCTAAGAATGTGCAACTCTTCTCAAAGTTTCAGAGAACTTGAAAATTGGATCAACAAATAATCTTATTATTCTTATAAAAATTTTGCTGTTCAAGCAGTGCCAATATTCTACTGTCTTTATCCTGTTCACGGTATTTTAATTCTTTTATAATAATAATAATAATCGACAAGCAACATTTCTAAACTGTTCATATGGTGTCACCAACAGAATATTAAACATTTCACAAGATCATGCTTTCAACTAGTATGATATTCCGTAAAATTTACAAGTACTGAAATTCTATAAGGTTAGCAAAGTTTATAAAAAACAAATGCATAGAAGAAGATTCTCAGGCTTACCCCTCTGCCTAGAATTTGAATGACTGGGATGACATTCTCATTGGCAATGGACTGCAAGACACGAGGAGTACCATACATAGCAGCCAGACAACTTGACATCGAGGAGACATACAGGCCGGCCAGGAGAAGGAAGCCTGTGCATACATTTATATGTTTTAAAATGCTTTTCATTTATACAGAACACCTTTCTGACCTGACTTTAAATTAATTTAAGTGCATTTATTTATAATTTATTTAATGATGGCATGGAATGGTAGGATTCATATCAACAATCAATTGGAAAGGATATGGAAGGAAAAAGTCATGGTCTAATTTAATGTAAGGAAAACCACACAAAATCTCTGTCAGGATAGATAGTCCTGGTCCAAGATCTGAAACCAGGACCTCCTGATTTCCAAACTTTAAGAAAGCCTGTGCCTCAGTTATGACTGAAATATTTTACAACACTGTTCTATCTTCCTATCTCATGGTCAGAACTATAATTTGGCCGTTGTTTTGTATGGGTGTGAAAGTTTGTTTTTCACCCTTAGGGAAGAACATAACTTGAGCGTGTTTGAGAACAGGGTATTTTGACCAAAAAGTGAAGACATAACACATGCATAGAAAAGTACAAAATGAGATTCATAATTTAAACTCTTTACCAAACATTATTAGGGTGAGGAAACAAATGTATACAAAATTGAGTCAAAAACTGAGGGGAAGAAACCACTTGGAACACCTAGACATAAATAGGAGAACAATATTAAAATGATTCTCAAGGAAGGAGGGTAAAAGAATAAAGTCTGGGTTCAACTGGCTCATGATAGCATACAATCACCCTCATGATGAAGGCAGCAAGCACCTCTAAGAGATTATACGATGCAACATCCAAGAAGTGTTTTTAAGGTAATAAATTATCAGGGTCTCAATTATTCTGCTCCATGGAATCAGTAAAAATACACAGAAAAAATCACAAGGAAAATATTAAAGTCATGAAGTTCCTTATTAAACCCTTTACTTTAACATCACAACCACTCTCTCTCCTGGGTCCACACATTTTTAAAGTGAATTCTGTCAAACATGTGAATACATATAATTTACAAAAACTCAAACTTTGAACTAGTCATCATGCATACGATACTTACGAACCGCAGATACCTTGGCAGCTATCATGAAGTCAGTTAGAAGCTTTGCACGTTCACATGTAGATCCAAGAACAAGTACAAAAATGAGGTACAGGAAAGTTCTGGAAACAAATACAATAAATACATAATGCATTGGAACCATTTATGATACAGCATAACTGAAGTCCTTCAGTTTTGATGATCACTGTCTCAAACATAAAATTAAAATACTTATAAAATCTTTACATCAAAGAGCTCTGAAAATAATAAATGAACATAAAATTATTATGTTGTTGCATATGTCACTGTTACATCAGCAAGTTCACCCACAATGACATCAAGCAACAGCTGATAGTGGAGGAATGAAACAAGGTGTGGAAAGACCAAGTGGTAGCTTGTGCTGTGCTCTGGAATGTAGGAGCACTCTGTTGAATGACTAGTAGAACTATAAATATGAGCCTCCTGCAAACAGCTAGCTCAATACTGAATCAACAATTTGAGCACCACAGAGCAAGTGCAGCAGCGTATAACGTGCAAGAAGACAGTGACAACCATCATGAAGTCAAGACTAAGACTTTACTTTGTAAACCAAGAATAATCCAGGAAATAATCAACTGTAACAGTGTGAAATCCATCAGTTGTAATCCAAATATGCAGTGGCATTAAATTCAAAAGTTTAGCATATTAGACTTCCCTTATTGAAAAAATACTTATCAGTCTTGTTGCAGATAATTATGATGTGTTTCCCTGATAAACCACAAGTGAGAACCAAGATAAGAGTTCTAATATAGATATGTTATCAGTCTCAGATTATCTCCCATGGTACAAGGGTTGTGTTTGTTGACAGGAACAAGTTTTTGAAGTTCTATGTTATACTAAGTCCATAAGAAGAGAGGGTTAGGTCAAAGTTACCTGGAGGGGTAACTCCTGATTAAGTTTAAGACTTTAAAGAAAGTAATAACACACATACACAAAGGCAATTTTTACAAATACTGTATATGCAGATTAAAGGTTATCAAATTTGACCTGGCACTTAATAATTTGATCCTACGACACTAAAAACAGGAAGTTATCTCTGACTTTATGCACCATATCATGATTATGTATGGCAGATAAAAAGTAAGGTTCAGCATATTCTTAACCAAGGCAGTGGCAGGAACATGTGAACTTCAAACAACGGCCACTTTACCTCCAGGGAAAACAGCCCCTGGTACTCAATGGGACCCCCCCAAAGCCAGTCTAGACATGGAAGCAAAGAGAAAAAATCTACTAGCGATCAAACACAGTAATTTAGCCCTTTACTAATTTCAATATTAACTGTGTGGCATCATTACAGAAAATCAACAAGAAAAACACCTTGAGCCTCCTGAAACACCATGATAATTACCTTGCATACCTGCATGTCATTGTGTTGAATCATTCTGGTGCAGAACTTCATACTTCACTGCTTGGTTTCAAAATTAAAGTGAGGAAACAATGTCTCACTGGAGATTGTAATGCAATTCAACAATTCCCTCTGAAAATGTTAATTCAGAATAACCAATGAACTCATATCATTTCTGTTTCTCACCTGTTATGACCTGAAAACACTGAACAGTAGATTGCCATGGAGGGAAGTGTTGACACTCTCAACAGTGATGTTAAATCTTCATGCTAATTCATGCACTGACATTCTCCTGTTATTCCATATGAGTTCAACAACATGGATGACTGTCATTATTTACTACAGTTGCTGGTCTTGCTTGGTATACTTAATTCTCTATGCACTATTCACACTTCCTGAATGACCTGTACCATTTGAACAATGAATACTACACGCAACATTCCCCATATTACACATCAAGCTAGAAGATTCCCACTTCACTGCACAAACCAGTGACTACCATGAGCTATTCATGGATCAACTGATTCAAAGGCAAGACTTCAATAATTTGCATTTAATCCAGACTTGAATTCAATATAATATACCATACAGATGCAGCAGAGTCAAAAACGAAATAAGCGACTAATTCATTGGTTATTTAATAATAATGTACCAACTTCAGAAGTTACTTATCAATGACTGACACTGTAAGATCATGGTGATTAATGAATTTGGAATAAATGTTGAAGGATTTATCTTGTACTTCAAAATTTCTAGGGAATAAATGTCATAAAACACAGCTGGTCCCCTGATAAATACATTAAACAACAGAAAGGTATTTATATGAACATTAGTTCACCACTTACAAAGGAAAATAAATATATTAGAGGACAAAAAATTGTGAAGGAAAGAAACAATTAAAAGGGCAGCTAGAGACTGAGTCAGGTGGCAAAGGTAATAGAGCATATTCCTTACACATTCTGTTTTTATATGACACACTCACCCTGTGCCAATAGCTGCCAAAGTACCATTTGGAATGTCCCTAGATGGATGCTTCAGATCACCACTCATGTTGATGCCAGCCATGATACCAGTCACAGTTGGAAAGAACACTCCAAACACAGTGAACCAGTTGTTGTCTTCTTGGAAATCAGGAAATGTATTGTTAACAAAGTTTTCTGACCTCCACCCTGAGAAACCATTCTCTGAAACATAAAATGGCATGCAACAATTTCCCCAACATTGTCTGCTACAACAGACATCCAACCATGTCACTAGATGAATGGATTTCAGTCCAGCAGAAGCAGGAATTTTTCTGTTCAACATAACACCCAAACTGTCTGTGGGACCCACCCAGTCTCCTATCAAATGGACAACAGTGGCTCTTTCCCAATAGATAAAGTGATAAAGGGAACTGAGATGACCAATGACCTTCACTAGCTGCTGGCATGTGTGGAGCTACACTTCCGGTCCCAAATATGTCTTCATGGTATGACACTTAATTAAGCACATGGACAACTTTACCTATCATGTTCATCACTTTTTCCATTTGCAGACACACAAATTACATGTAAGTGTAAAAGCAAGAAACAAAAAGAGAGATAGAGAGAGTATGTAAGACAAAGTGTGTGCGCACGAGCGCACTCACATGTGTATGAACTTTCAGATTCATAAGGGGTGGGAAATTTCTTTACCATCTGAGTAACTATCAGCTTCTCTAGGACCCTCCTCCATAGAGGCAGTTATTTATTTATTACATAATAAATTAGACTGATAACATGAATAAATGAGACATTTTCAACATTTTATAAAACATGCTATACTGAACCTAGTAAGCTTATAGGCCATTCTCCACCTGATAAACAGACTTGTATGCCAGAAATTAAGTAAGTAAATGAATGGTAGGAGGTATTACTAAACTTGCATAGAAGCTGGCAAAATGGTAAATACACATATAAATTAAAATTTAAAAATGTAAAGTCAAGTGCCTCACCACTATCTGTGTGGATAAAGCTGCCAACAACAAAGTCTCCTCCAGCCATAAGAAGGATAAGCAATAACATGAACTGCAGCTTTATAACCCACTTGACACCTGCAACATTGATCACGCCAAGCAACAGCACTGCAGCACTGGCAAAACCTCGTTCTGCCCATGGTGAGTTTAAGTCAACTAATCCTGCCATAGATTCACCAAATCCCAAGACGTAGAGAGCGCATCCAACAGCCTAAACAGACAAAACAATTTGTACGGAACAATTTTATTTTATTTTGTGTATATGTGTGTTGCTTTTAGAGATCAACTGTCAAATCACTTAGCTACTAACCTCATAGGGACAATGACATTATATTATGCAAAAAACTAAAATAACAAATAAAAATATTTAAAAAACCCAGAAACTTTGGTTTATCATAAAAGCGATGTGGCACCACTGTAAAGGATGGTGGATATAAATAGTGTGAACCTTCCCCCATTTTCACCTAGTTGCTTATTGGCTTTTGAACAGTAGTAATATTGTGAAATGTTTTAAAACACCTGTTCCATTGATAGAATGCACCAAACAAGAACAATGATCAGTAATCTTAACTTTTCAGAGGACATGAGAATTATAAAATTTATGGAAGACTGACATTTCAGCATAACAGCAACTGCACGAGCCAGAGAAGAGGCTATAAATGAGTTTAAGAAAAAAAGAGGACAGACAAGTGTTAGTGATCCTGATAATGTCAGTCTAGATGGCATTAAATTGTATTATGTTTAGGTTAAGGACCAGCTCAATTAGAATATCCAAGATAACTAAAGAATCAGAAATAATGACAGGCACGGAAGTGGTACAAGAAGGCCTAAGCACCAACCAAAAATATTGCTACTTCATGCAGAATCATGAAACTTTAAAGAACTTTATGCTCCTTGTAAATTAGTAGCATTGTAAAATTAAAAGGGCTTTGCACCTCCTAATACGGTAAAACATAATAGTCTCATTTAAAATGTAAATACACAAAAAGCTAATAGCACCATACATTTTAAATGGAATGGGCAAAGGATCAAGAAAACCTTTATAGAACAATATAAATTTGGCAAAGGTTATTTTTGTTGAAAGTGTAGGCAAATTTACACCTAGATGAAGTACAGATATGCTCTTCACTTAGTGAAGATAATGGATGCAAACAAATTTTACAAGGCATAAGGCAACTCATATTCAAAATGAAAATTCCTTGCAGTCTTAACAGTACCAATATGGTGAGGGTGGGAACCTCTGTAAGTTATGAAGGTGGCTGTCTTCATACTCATCACTGTGAGAACCTGAAATCTTACTCTGTAAGATATGTATTCCTGATTTAAGAATTCATTATTATTCTCACAACTACCTGTGCTTAAATGACATTGTACATTTCAAAGCTTGTAAGATATTTGCTAGTACCAACTTCTATTTAAGATTTATCAGTGAGGAAAATATTTTGCATGATTCTATATATGTATACTGAAGACTTTAGGAGATAGTTCTGAGGATTAGAGGAACCAACTCAGGATTATATCAAATGGCAGGGTTTGGTTTCAGTAGTACTGAAACTTTGGTTTCTGCTACAACAGAGTTTATTATGTAACATTACTGGCAAAATAAGACACCAACAAAAACTATATTACTGTAGTTAGATTGAATAAATAACAGACTTCATGGTAGAGGGTCTTCTATTAGCAGATGACAGCTACATAGCTGGTTAAGAAAATCCCTGTTTTAGAACCCAAAGATTCACTTTCATCTGCCACTGGACCAATTATACTGACCTGCCCAAAAACATAGAGTAGTCCCAGAGCTCCTCCAAACTTGGAACCCAGCACATGAGATACCAAGAAGTACACACCCCCACTTTCCATACGACATCTCTCACAGATTCCAACAGCAGATAATACTGACACAAGAGCCACAGACACTGGTAACAATAAAATCAACACATTTAGGAATGGGTGATATACATTATTAATCAGGATAATGTCCTTCACATTACATACATTCTTGATACAATTATGAACAGACGCAACAAAACTAAGCTTGTTTTAAATGTTTTATGCTACTGTTCTGACCTCATAATTCTACGTTGTGATGCCATGTATTCACAGTTTGATACCAATGTTTTGGAGATATCACTTCAGCCCTGGAGATAGAGAAAGTTATAGTTCTCTGAAATGCTAGTATCTACCTATGAGTCTACATGGCATCACAAACCTCATCCTCATCGCCATGAGAACTTCAGATCTCACAGTTGCATTATCTATTTTCCTTCCCATTCATAATAAAACACCATCTTCCACAAAGCTAGATTTCTGCACAGTGTTCACAAATTATTTTTATTTTGAAGGAAAGGGGTGCTGGTGCAATAAAATAGACAATCAAAAATAAAACTTTTTCTAAAACAAATATCACATCTTCCAGGATCCAGGGTAAACTCTGTACCCTAGAAAACAGTTCCTAAAATCTGTAAGAATTCAAGAGTCCAAAAGTACAACAGCCTATTTTTTATTTTTCATTTAAAACCTTATAATCTGGAAAATACACGAAGCAAGACATCATTAACTAACTTTATAACTATTACTGACACATGAAAACTTCTCCATTACACCTGCTGGTCCTGTTTGAAGGATTCACTAACCTGTGGCAAATACAATAAGTACTGCATTTAGGACACCTGCTTGACCCACTATCCAGCCTGAACGCAGAAACACAATCACACCGAATATATTTATCAGACATGAAGTGAAGACGCCATCCCATGTTCCAAACAGAACTGGCTCTGATATAAAGAACTGTGACTTCCACCATGGTTTGTCTCCCTGAAAGAATAAAGATGCAGTCATACAGTGCTAAATGTGCAGACACGGTTTCTGCTTCTGAGCCTTCAGGCTCAAAAATAATTTGAATCTGTAACAGCACCTGAGTCAAATGTAGACTTCTCTGACATTCACTGATATGACAACAATCCCTTATGTCAGAGACAAAGACAATCTCCAAAATGTTAGAAACTCATAATGATGTTGGTTATCACCGAAGAAGACTCTACTGCCTTCAGACACTTACTAATACATGAATAACAGTGGCATTAATGTAACCACAACACAGAATCATGATAATAAATATATTTTAGCTGCACATACCATGCAGTGTAAAACTGTGGAATGGCTATGGAAGTGGTCGTGGCTGATTTTAAGGTGGTCAAATAGTTTTTTTTATGAGGACAGTCAGTTCCTCAGCTGAGATTTTAACCTGGAACTCTGAACAGGAAAAAATGCTAACTATATAACCATGATATATGTTATCTCCATCTTAAATATCTTCATTTCACAAAACTTTGTAAATTGCAGTAAACACATTCATGCCCTAAGTACAACTAAATACTTTAATCAAGAAATGTTTTGTGGAGAAATACCAGCAGATATTTATCTTCACGTTAACTATATGAACCAGTTTTATACTGACATAAAACATAAGAGGACCTAAAATATGTAATATGGAAGAGTGTCTGTAATGTGCAACCCCACTACCTAAATATATAGGTTTTGGAATTATGCCCACTTGCAGATCTCACTGCTCCCTGAATATTTTAAACTTCCAGAACTAATTAATTAAATGAACAGTCTAAACAAGGCAGAATTTATCATAAATTAAATCTGGACAAATATTTGTGACATACTTTCAAACATGACAAGTATGAGATAAGATAGGTGCATGTTACAAGGTCATGCACTCTGCTGGAACATACCTGCACAGATTTTCACTCAGGTCTTAAAAAATACATGATGCAACTTAAAGGTGGCGACTGACTTGTAACATTTGCCTGTAATGTAACGTGTTACAAATCGAGCATTACACAAGTGAAGACAGCGAACGGAGCCGCTCAATGCGAGCCGCTCACGCTCGCGGGCGCTCCATCGTGTTGTCAGTTTTTTCGCGAATCCCCTTGAGTGTTACATTACAAGTCAGTCAGTCAGTCGAGCGGCATCGTAACGAGCATTCACGAGTTCTTTAGATAAGAGTAGCGTATTAAATTAAACAAAGATAACACAACCTCCACGTCCGACATATTGAATGAAATGAATGGAGCACACACGAGCACAGTCGAGCTGAGCGTTCAAAACGAGCATTCGATACGCCTCACCAGTTGTGGTGTAATGTAACATGCTCGCCGCGAATGTTACATTACAAGTAAATGTTACAAGTCAGTCGCCACCTTAACACCTACTCTCTGAAAATGGAATAGGATTATTATCCACACAGATAACTTAAACAATGGTACACATATATGTTTCAACAGTAACTGGCAATTTTAAACACCTCAAGCCTTCATTTTGCTTTAATTATTACTGACAGTTTTCAGTATTTAAGGTAGTGAAGAGAAAATTAGATTGTAAGGTACCACTTTACCAAATTACTGACTTGTCCTAGTTTAATTTCATGGTTTACTTTTCCATGTTTAGAATAATACTTAGTGTTTGAAGTTTGCAAGTACAAGTTGTGAAATTCCCAACCTTAAGAAAGTAGTGGCACAGTTAATAGAACTCTTATAATTAAAAAATAGCAAAGCAAATTCAATGAGCAACAAAAAAAATTAAGCAATTTTGTTTTTATACATTTTTTGTATCATAAAGCTTAGAATATGTTCCACATGAATATATTATTCTGAACTCAGCAGTTTGTATTATAATCATGGGACTTTCATTAATTTTATTAACCAGGCAGATACTTATCAGTATATGTTTTCTTTCATTTTTACTCCAGTTAATACTTAGTAAGATAACATTCATTTTTATTCTCCATTGAATATTGCAGGTTCTGGAATACACTCATAAAAATAAAAAATGTTTTCCCTTCACCAATCTACACCTTCATCATGACATAACCTAAAAAATACAAAATATGAAACACAAATTCTTAGGCTCAATGAATCAAAGTTTTTAAAACTGCAATTACTGTAAAGTACTCACTAAATTTACATTTTTGTTCCTTAAAATGTCTGAAGTAAAAAAATATAATTAAAAACTCACATGTAGGATTTGAGGTTTTCACAGCGGTGAGTCTGAAGATTGCTGTCTTCTGGGTTTTTGAGCCATGTAATTTGGTAGATCTCCACCAACGTTTCAGAGGAAGTATGACCTCTGAAATGTTGGTGGAGATCTAACAGACTACACGGTGCAATAACACAGAAGACAACAATCTTCAAAAACCCACACTTTAGCAAGCTTTATAAACATTTAAATTTGAAACACATCAGCTTCATAATTGTCTTGATTCATATTATGAATGTGTCAATCACTTTGGTGAAGTCATGTTATCTTATCACATTCAAATGACTGACATTACTGCCACCATATGGCAGGTCGCACTCATATCTTGTTCAATTACATTTTCTTTACCAAATTCCATACAGAAGTCATTGAGAAGCTGACGGTCGCTCAGTTGGTCAAGAAATTCCCTGCATTTTATTGAACATAAAGGCCCATTACCAAGTCTGCCACTGGACTGTAAATATGTACCGACATCTGTAATTCCTCCTCTGCCTCTCAGTACATGCATGTTTTAAACATCTTTGTCTCTTCTATGATAATATCTCTTTGAAACCTCTTTCAGCAGTGATCCATGGAATAATGCTTAGACACAGGGGTAACTCCTATACCACAGTATAAGCAACATGCTTGTTTCGAGAAAATAACAGGACAATACAGCTTGTTTCATTGTGATGTCTGCACTGAGGAGTGTGTTTAAACAACCTATACACCACGAAACTTCAATGGATATAGTTCCAGTACTTGGTTCACAAATATTCAAATTGATAGAGAAGCTAGACCAATGTGTTCTTAAAGAAAATACTTATGCTGACAAAACTCAACCAGTCATCTATAAGCAAACACAAGGATAAGTAAGTTAATGTCCTGTCACCAGACTACACAATAAAATCATTACATAAAGGTGGTTTATAAATCCTCTCAAAACATGGAAAACTTCAAATATCTTGGAAATGAAGAGCCAAACTTATTTCAAGGAAAGCATGCTACCATGCAATTCCTAATCTCCACTCTTACCTATCCTTCTACGTTGGTGTGAAAACTGGGCTCTCACATGAAGGGAAGAACACAGATTGAGGGTGTTGTTTGAGAACGGGGCATTTATCAGAATATTTGGACCTAAGAGGAATGGAGTACCAAGAGGATGGAGAACAGTGCATAACAAGAAATTCCATAATTGTTACTGTACACCAAAATATTAGTGCAATAACATCAAGGAGGATGAGATGCGCAGGGCATGCATGGGAAAGATGATATATGTGTACAGAACTGGTTGCAGAGCCTGAAAGGAAAAGACCACTCAGACTATATAGTATCAAATGAGAGGATAACAGTGAATAATGAATTGGAAAGGATGTGGAAGGAAGTGGTCATGACCTAATTTAAGGCACTATCCCAGCATTTTCCTGGAGGGACTGAGGAAAACTATAACAACCACAATCGGAGTAGCTGGTGTCTGGGCGGTGATTTTAACCTGGGACCTCCCAAATACGAAACAGGAGTGTTTACCACTCAATCACAACGTTCAGTCAGAACAACAAGGTGTACATGGGAGGGAAATATTAAAATGGACCTTAGGGAAACATTGTTAAAGGGTATGGAGTGGATTTATCTGGCTCAGGATAAATACCTGTGGTAGGTTCTTGTGAGCATGGTAATTAGCGTCCATTTTCTATAAAACACAGGGAATTGCTTGACTAGTTGAGCATAATGTTAACTTCTAAAGAATTCTAATCTATGATTTAGACAGTTGATCAATCAGTCAGTCACAACTTGCATATACTAAATCACCACATCTACAGTTTATCAAGTTCCTAATAGTAAACCGCCACAATTTATAACCACTTTTACCAAGTTCCTGATAGTAAATATCCAGAATTTATAACAACGTTCAATACCTGCTCTTCTGCAAAGAGTTCATTGACTTCAGAAGCTTGGTGACCACCTGGACCATAACGATACTCATAGCCAAAATCAGTTCCTCCTGGCAGTCTGTCAGTCCTGTTGCTATCACTTGGTTGTTGGTGTTGTGAACTTGCTTCTCGTTTGCCAAGACCAAACCTTCCCCAGTCAACATCCTTGTTGACCCTACCATTGTCGCTGGAATATGATGAGTCCATTCTGGTTATGGTATTTGGAGATTATGCAAGTTACTTCACTTTTTCATTTTACCTTCTGCAATGAAAACCAAACGAGTATTACCTCAAATCATACAAAAAAAATCACTTCAGATTTACATACATCTTCCAAATCGTTTTCATTACATTTTGACATTCATATTAAACCATTATAATACAACTTAAACAAACCAATTTTCGTAACACACAGCTCTTCTCTGAAAGTTGAGCCACCACTTTATGGTCAATTACAAATTATCATTTCTTAAACGTCTCAGTCCTGTCTTCCTTTGCTTCAGGACATATGTGTAACTTACTATACCATATTGTACTCTACTACAAGTAGAAACTCATAAAAATGCAACCGAAAGAATAGTTAAATATATAATGACACACGTATCCATAAATCACGCCTAAATGTCCTTCTCCTACATATTAGTCATGCTCCAAAACGTCGCTCTTAAACATCCTGGAACACATGACAGCATCGCCTAGGTTGACGGCCTTTACCCTCTTTCTTTCAAAACTTCACTTCAAGGAAACAATTTAAATTAAATAAAATTCTACAAGCATATTACAGCAACGCCGTGAAAGTAACCATACCAGCATGTCCAATCACGATAACGATATCTGATAATCACTGGAACTATTAGTTCCTTATCTTTATCTACATCTTCACACAATATCATCTTCCTGCCCACTAGCAGCCCACGCACACGCAACTGGTGGATACAATGTGACCAACATACAAGTTTCAATAATAAGTAGGAGGTTGATTACATTTGGCAGAAACCAAGTTGATTGCATTTACCAAAAACCATATTGATTAAATTTGCCGAAAACACGTGCTAATTGCAGCCCATTTCCCACAAATTAAATTAAATTGCATAAACGAACATTTGCTCTGCGGTGGACAATGGAAAATCCTTGGACGATAACGTATCTGTGCTTACACTACAGAAAATGAACACGTAGTACAAAGGAACTATCTGTCAAAACTTCTTCCTATCTCTTGAGGAAAGGGGCGTGGAGATGGTATCAGAAAACGGTACTTCATTTTCGAAGGCAACTGCACATTATCGTAAATTATAAAATTCCGAAGTCCATCTCAACAGCATGAAAAAATCTAAAACTATTTTAAGTTCATTGGTATACAGCGGCGGAGCGTCACGTTTTTAAAAATGTTAGCCAAGCCCCAAGGCGGGGAGTAGTAAATCTTAGCAACTAAGCATCGCACTTCGTCTTCCATGATTCATAATCACAACTCGCAACATGACACACTTACAACAAAGGTTACAAATTTAAAATCGTTATGCAGCGATCTACGTCAATCGCGAACACGAGGATGATAGTGAATCGGAAAGGATGTGGAAGGAAGCGGTCGTTGCCTTATTTAATGTACTAACCCGGCATTTGCCTGGCGGGACGGAGGAAACCCACGAAAATATCTGTCAGAACAGCCACTGTTGAGGCCAAATTTGAACACAGACCCACCCTAATTCGAAGCAGGAGCGTTAACCACACGACCACGACGTTCAGTGTTAACAACCAAGGTTTGGCAAACATCTCGACTAGGAATATCATGCAGCTCTCCTCCTCTCAAGTCTATACTATAGCCTGTCTCGTCTATTTGGCTTGTGCTAAGAGGCGGGCATTCTATGTCTCAAGTATCTGGCTAACAACACCCTGCTGGAGCTAACAGTGCAGTTGGAGTGATCGGTTCTACTGTGTTTAAGTGTACAGCATACCACTAAACCATTAAGACTTGTAATGTTTTTCATACTAAACAAATATGTCACTGGCATTAATAACATAAAATCTGAAAACTTGGTGTCGTAATAGGTCTTAAAAAATATGTGACAGTCACTGATGAACTGAGAGTCAATGTATGCTTACAGAAATTAACATGATCAGATTACAATGTCTCAGACAAGAAAAATGACAGGCTCTCTAGAAGAGTTCTAGATTATGAGTACAAGGCAGAAGACAAAAAGTATGATGCAGATTGATACAGTTTAGCCAAATGATTGACACTATTAGAAGCAAATGAATTGTCTGCTACAAGGTAGAATATTACAAAATACTATTCATCCATCAATTCAGTTTTAGAGGAAATGAATACATTACTATGCAAACAGCACAATACCCAAATGTAGCAAATAAATTACTGAAAGTCAGAAGAAATAAAAAAACTGCCACATGGTAATAATAATAATCAGGATTTACAGTAAAGCAACCAGCAACAAACGATATCATATCAAACATTCAAACCAAAGTTACCAAACTGATAGTTTGTAAAAATGCCTGAAGGAAGCAATAAGACACTATAAATAAATCCTCTCCTTACTGGTAGCCAGTCTGTATTGCTCAGCAATACAGCAGAAAAACGGCTGGAAACACACATCACCTGTCACTGAGTGATAATTTTAAGTGATATCACTCTTGTTCCACTGTACATGCATGCTATTTGTTAAGCAACATGCACTGCTTATCATATATTGTATGTTGCTTCAGTGTGAATCCTGCCCTACATGATTGCTTTAAGTAGTAATGTGACAAGGAATTGTTATGCTCTGGCTGAAATCTGTTAGGTGCATCTTGGACTGTGCTAGAAGTTGTCAAGTAATTAAAATATCTTATGCTTAATTACAAGCTATTACAAAAAATTCATAGGTGGGTGTTATGAGTCAGAATTCTTAAAAATGACAGAAAACTCTAAAATGGCTCACTTTTTTTATTCCATGCTTGGAAGCTGTAATGTGTAGCTTATGTTCATGCTAAAAGTCTTAACATAAGTCAGAAAGCTATCAAAGATGCAGAATGCTTAGGTTACATCTTACAGCTGTAATGTATCTAAAAAATCCTATGGTCACTGAAAGCCTTCTGAGATCTAGAATGCTTACAGTATGACCTTGTATCAAAGCAATAAAGATTTTTCAGCTAAAATTTCTCACAAAGTGATTCAGTAACATTCAATTTTTAAGTATAAAGAGTAAGATTATTTTTTCTTGATGTTCACTTCTACACATAATGCAATATAAATATTTTGTCCATTAATTGTAAACTTGTGTTTCTCATGAATCATCATGAAATTACATAACTTGGAACAAAACCAATGCACCAAAACAATTGTACTTTCATCTTAAATTTAAAAATTTGTTCTTGACTGAAATAAGTTTGTTTTCAATTAGAGGATATAGAGTCCACATATCTTAAAACCTTTATTGTAATCAGTATAGTGTTAGGGTGCCTAGACAACAATACATATTGGCAGTCAACTGCCAACACTTCTGGTTCTCGCAGCAGTGAGTATGAAGGAGACAGTAATTTTCAACTGTCTGGATTGCTCACCAGTGTCATGGTATGCAAGGAAAGCTTCCTTAACTTCATCTTCATGTACCACAATGATCTATAATTAATTCCTGTCCCATAATTTATTTACATTTATCATTTATATTTAAACAATTCAAAGCAGCTTACAGAAGCTACTGAGCAAAGTGGATCTACATATGACTTGAAAATCATTATGTAAACTTGTATTTTGAAAATTTAATTTCAGCACAATATTAAAATGTATTTTCGGTTTAGAGATTCACTAAAATATTATACAAAGAATTAAAATGACAGAAAGAAATATTCAGTTGACATCACCAAATACAAGGATTATTGCTTTTCATAAAATTATGGATTAAAGTTAGCGAAATTTAAGAAAAGCAACATATACATCATTCTTAAAACATAAAATGTAACAAAACACATTTGCAGTGATATGACTGCATTATATAAGCATGACAACTGAGTGGTAAATACCAGAATACTTCAATTATTAACCAAATGAAATTTATATTCTATACTTTCTTTATGCTATTTGGAAATTGTTATTAAATCAAGCAATAAGTTTTATTAATATAAACTACTCTAATTCACATGGTCTAATTCACAGTGGCACACAATTACATTACATCAAATTTGTTATTTACATTCTAAATCACAAATCTTTATAATGTAAACACTGGAATTTTCATAAGGCAGCAACATAACAGGTCTCTGATGAATATCCACTTATTTTCACTGCACAAAATGTTTCTAGGGATCATACCCCTTTTCTCCACTTTTCAGCTGTTGTAAACTCTGTCATGGGCTTCCCACTCATACCACATGTGCCAATACCAACTCGTCCATTTACATTATCTGGTGATGCAAATATACTTTTCTTTGTCATTCCTTTCTTTGCAGCCTGAAAGCAAAGCATAATAACATGATCCCTGCCATATGCATTACCAGGGCAACAATTTAAGATGTCTCATATCATGTGCTTTCCATACTTGGAAAACTGCATTATCTTATTTTATCCATGGTTTATGTAACAAAATTGGCACTACCCAAGACTAAATACCATCACAAGATAGGATGATTAATGAATGAGGTGGAAAGGACATGAAAGGAAGTAATCATCATCTAATTGCAGCACCTGTCTGGAGGGACTAAGGAGAACCATGGAACCTGTCAAGACAGCTGGTCTAAAGGTAAAGATTCAAATCCAAAACATCTTAATTCTATGTGATGATAATCCTTCAACGTGAATAAAGATGCATTAATAACTGGACGTGTGTTCCAAAAGTGATTAAGCCTTTGTACAAAACAATTTCAGCTATGTGAAACGAGATGGAGTTTAATATGTCACATTCCACTAATCTACCTTACTTCCAATAATTCCCAATGAATCTAAGTATCTCCACTCACTCTAAGTTGGATTATATCACCTATGACATCATACAATACTTATGAAAGACCTTAATTTTGAGCACATACCTCCAACTCCATTGCAGCAAAGTATACCAAACTAGTTAATGTCTTAACCCTACACAGCAAAAACGATATAACTACAGTGAAACCTCGATGCATCGTTTTTGATGGGGGAGAGAAATAAAAATGATGGATATGGGAAAACGACAGTTGCGGGAAAGCATTAAAAATGTTAAAAAATTAAAATAGTGCGTTTTTCTCTTTAGCATACACAAAAAACCTGTTTCAAAGTTACTTCTTTTTGCCAAAATAGTCTTTAATGGATAACTTTACATTTTAGGCAAAACAGAGCCCTTTCCATGTTCAAAACGTTTTCCTCATCACCTTCACAAATATTGTGCTCATAAAAGAATGAACTCACTTTTACACCAATGCAGCATGTGCTTCGGCAAAACTCGGCACAGCTTCAGGCTTGCATTCGTTGTCTTTCGCAAGCTCGCTGTGCGTCTTTCGATATTAATTTATATCTAAAGCGATCATTTTAAATTCTAAAAACATTATGTAAATTTCATTATAATTTCTCAGAAACGATCAGTGTGGAAAAATTGTGGGCCAGGACTAAGATTTCTGAACGACTGATGCGATAAAACGACAGCTTGAGACACGATAGAAGCGAGAAAATGTAACATTATTTTATATGGAACCTTTCAGGGACCAAACAAAACAGACGATGCATCCGGGAAAATGATAGTTCGGAGAACAACGGATAGAGGTTTCACTGTATTAGTGCACAATGTTCGTGCATAAAGTAAGATATCCCGAAGGAAGCAGAGCCCATTATGGCAGCTGGAACAGAGGACTACAAGAAGAGTGGAAGCAATTATAAACTCTATTGAATAAAGTTCTTAGTGAAAAGAGAGTAGTTGCTCAGCTAGTCAATGAATTCATAGCCCTTTATGGAAACTGAAGGACCATTTCAGTGTTCATAAAGACCTGCCACTGGTCCCAATCAAAATAGGTTCACTTAAGTTTCTACAAACAGTGTATCCAAAGTGAGGCATCCCACTCCACTGAGAATGGTTATACAATAAATATCTCAAAATAATGTACACCAACCGATGCATTCTACACAGACATTTGACAGTTATTTACAATAGATTACTGTGTCATAAAATCTTTTTAAATTCTAAAAGAGATGCGGATAAACATATTTACCTTGGAATTGAATGCAAGCCATTTGTTCTTCTCTCCTTCTCTTTCTTCTTCCATTTGCTTATACCTTTGGAGTTTCTTTTGTTTTTTCTTTTTCTGGTATTCACGCTGTTTTGATATTACTTGTTTCCTGTAACATTAATGAAAAACATAAAAACAGATATGAGTAAACTGAACAGTCAGAAGAACCAATCTGATAAACTTGAAGTAGGTCCATAATAAAACACATGCTTACAATGTCAAATAATGATAATACTTTCATTCAAGAAATTCCCAACAATTTATGGAATCTGAAGGTTCACATGAGGACAATGGATCTTAAAACCAAATTTAGAATAACTATACATTTTTGATTACTATGATTATATTTAAAAGGAACTAATGATCCAACAAAGTTTCAGTAATCGCACAATTAAAACAATATTTGCTCTGGCCTTGTTTAAGATGACACTACAAAAGCATCAAAGTGAGTATGTGGTGCTATATAATATAGCGCACATCTCATTTTCTTAACATTGTGAAGCACATAATACAGTGAAAACTTTATATGACACAGGAGTCAGGTGACAGCTTAACTACCCACATTACAAGAGAAATTTACATTTATTGTATTAATTCTACTGGAAGACATAATCAGAGCTGCGGTATATCTGAATCTGGGGTATAAATGGGTATGTTATATGGAGGTTCCACTGTACTTTTAATCAGAGACTAAAGGTGAGATTCTGCTGAGTCTATTTATATGAATGAAAGAACTGCATAAGTATAACTTCAGGAACAGGAGAAAAGTATTAATAAAACTGATATCAAGTTAAAGAAAATTTCAAATTTACAAAATACTTTTTTCAATTCACTGTCCAGTTTGATACATACAGAAACACACACACACAAACTCTATGCATCTCATAAATAATGTAATAGGACTGGAAATATATTGATATGATAGTTTTTGTAAGGAACCCGAGATCAGAAGTAAGCAATTCTTTCTCTGACATATTTGCATCTTGAAAGTCTCATATTTCAATGTAATGGAGCTGAACATTATGGTCACATGGTTAACTATCCTTTGTATTCACAAGGTCAAGCTAATCTGACTTAGGTTTCTGTGGTTTTCCTCAGTACATCCAGGCAAATTCTAAAATAGTACATTAAATTAGACTGTGCCAATTTCCTTCCATATCCTTTACAATTCAACATTCATTAATCATTCTATCATCATCATTATTTACCCTAAACAGCTGGAAAGTGTCATTAAATATAATAGGAATCAATATACTGAAACTTGCACTCACTTGGACTTAGTGTCAGTAACATCGTCTGCTGACCTCTTGACACCACTTTTAAGTTCCCTTAGCTGTGCCAGTGTTGTTACATCGGAATTCTTGTAGTTATCAAATACCACAGATACTTCTTCGCCATCTTCTGTTATGTCCTCAATTGTTGCCTCATAGTACCTGAAAACAAATTAACCCTTAACGAGCGGTAAAATTGCTTCATGACCAAGTCGTATACATAATGAAAACACTTGATGTAAAGTGTACATGCAATTCTGAAAGTTATGCAACCCAGTGAAAAATATTAATTATTTATTGCAAATTCCTTCCTTCTTTTGAACTACTGGTATATTCCAAATAACAATAAAGATGGTCTTACTATGCTTCAGGTAATGTGCATTCAGAATATGACACACTGATTGAATAGTACTCTTAAAAATAACACTATCTTAATAGAGTATCTAACTGGGCATTTTCAGACTGGTGGTGGTGGCAGAAAGTGCACAATTCTGATAATACCAAAATGACAGAGATGCTGCTACTGTGTACACAAAATATTCATGTTTAACAATTTGTATTAGTTGTATGATTGTTTGAACATTCTGTATATATAAATTAATTCAATTCACAGCTGAATAATACATCCCCATGTATGTTGGTATGCATTTAAGACTGATTTCTGGGAAGAAGAAAACACCTTTTATTGAATTGTGCACTTCGACCAACACCTTTTGATAGTATCACTAGTGCAATAAATTTATGATCCTGTAAAATTGTAAAATTGAATGAAGATAGCTTTTGAAAAATATGCAAATTCTTTTAACAACATTGACATAAAATGGAAAATGACAGTCAAACAAAATATATATTTATTTCCTGATTTTGACTTAACTTATAGATCATTACGGTTAGCATAAAGCGAGATATGTACATCTAAAAATATTTGAATTCAGTATGTAATTGCCAAATACCAACATTGTGACAATAAAAGCCTGTGAAACTGTTTGAAAATAAAATACAACCAGCCACTGAACATAAGTCTTAAAGCTGTCCTCAGGCTTAATTCAGTGTATAACCTATTTTATTTTTTATTATTAATTCCTAAAATTGTAAGTCTGTTTCAAAATTCCCTTGAATGGACAATGTATCAAAAGAAGTGTATGAAAAAATTACTTCCCTCATTTATAAGTTTCAAAACTCTCTCTCATTTAGTTCTAAAATTCATCTCCTTCACTCTTCAATTTCATCTACAGCCAATTTAGGAGTGACAATGGTTGGCTAATAATGACCAGAATTAACACTGTCATGGCTAAATATGGGTAATGTCTGCATGTTTCACCCACTTGCTGGTATCCAGCTGCAAAGCAGATTTCCTGATAGAAGGAATTTCCTTTATGGCAGTAGTTCAGTCACCTCTTTACTTATCCTTGGAATATTACTTGAAAGCATGTGTATTTTTAATAATATAACCTAAAACCCTGAACTGTAAAGAGATGATTAAGGCCTCTTTCCTAAAAATACACTAAAGAGCAGAACAGTTTAATTAATAATTTACATGTAACTTACTGTCCATCATCACTCCATATAGCGAGGCATTTGTCCCCAATTTTCCAGTCTCTCTTAGTACAAAGCTCTTCTAGTTGTGGCTGTTCAGCAGCCAGAAGCCTGGCTGTAACATCATCTTCAACATTCGAACTACCAGCAGTACCTTCTGCTGCTTTTAATTCAAGGAGCTGTGTCTTTATTAGATCTCGGGTCAAGTCTATAACTTCTTCAAGATCAACTTTCAATTTCAGAAGTTCTTCATTTGCAGGATCTGTTGTGAGGGCTGCTTCAACCTAGACAAGAGCTTATTATTATTCAGAATAATGACTTTGGCCTAAAATTGAAACACATTCTTGGTCGGTTTCCTTCATCCAGGCATTGAGATCAGGTACTTCCAATCGACCCCACAGACGAAATTTTACCTGATGAGGAAAGCAGAATAAGCTTCAAGAACGTTTATCCCCCCCAATGTCCAATAATATGTATATTGAATAAAGAACCTTGTTCTGTTGGTTTCTGAATATTCTCATACTAGTAAATATCACAAAATGTACATATATACATGCCATTTTGCAAGTGGCAAGTAATAGCAGCACTAGTTTTGCCCTTATACATAACCACTTTAAGTCATATTTACCTGTTGTAATTGTAGCTTATAATTTTGAAGATTTCCTTGTAAATCGTCAGCCATAATTATCACAATGTGAAGTACAATTTCCCCTTCTTTGACGAAAGACTAAAACTTGTACCATTTAATGTTTACAATGCTTCGTTATACGATGCTCGATTTTAGTTATTCTTAAATCGTGGTGCCAACATAGTTTCCGATTTACGCAAAGAGTACAGCAGTGCACCACTGTGCAAATTTACTACCCACAGATTATAATACCAACATACTGCAACGTCATTTGTAGTTTTGTACAGATGAAAATATTGACGTTACAGGAATCAGATACTGTTGTGTATTTGTATAAATAGGCCTACTTTGTGTATTTGTTAGAGTGATTATTAAAATGTCGTATCCGGTAAGTTTCGGAGGATAAAATCCACTCTTACTGCACTTATCGTGTACAATTTAAGGTAATTCGTAGTGCATTTCAAAAGACAGTGATTGGGAAGCCAAAACAACAGCCGACTGTATTTTAAAAAGCTTTATTACAGAACATGTATCAATTTCTCCTACTCGGAATCCAAGCCAGCGTTCCCAGGCTGGGCGTGTTGTGCCGAACACAAAACTACTATAACCTACCAAATGAAACTTACGTTTCCACTAACCAGTCACCTAATACCTTGTTAATATATGAATTTAATTTAACGCCTGAATTCCCGTTGTCTGATATGGAAATATATCTAAGATGAATCAAAACTGATACTGTGGAAATAGATCATCTGCGATAGGTTTATAGGTTATGTAATTTTAAAAGAATGATTTCATAACACATGTGCATGAGGCGCTAAAACAGTGCAATGTAATAAATATATGAAGAATGTAGTTTAGTTAATTGTTCGTATTTTCCATCCAACTGCAATTGTTAATTTACTAAACTGTTTTATTTTAAATTTTGTGCACACCAAAACAGCGGTTTTGTGTTGCATGTTGAAAACAGCATTTTTAAGATCGTCCTCAGTCCAGTATGTGCAGTTCTGGTTTGTTGTATCATGACTGCTTCCAAGTGACTGATATTTGTATTGCTGCTTCCTTTATTTGTTAGCCTATTTTCCCTTCTTCTCAGGCTACCAGCATGTAAGGTGATTTAATTATACTGTCACCATGAAAGCTTCAAATCATGTTGGCATATCAGATCCACCATTCTGGCTGTGTGTAGAATTGTGTGTTTAACAGATTGTTTATTGACCTCAATTTAATTTTAGATTTTAGGTTCTCATGGTAGCAAGTATGAAGATGACTGTCTTCTAGTATGTTATGCCATTTAGTTTCATAGAAATTTACTGACGTTTCAGTTCTTTGCCCTGATGTAATAGGTAAGCACCTCTCAGACATTGGTCAATTTCTACAGGACTACATGATACAGCATTCCATAAGACTGTTATCCTCAGTATAATTTATTTTTAATTTATAATAATAACAAATTTTACAAACTGTAAAGTTTGTGTGGAACTCCTATTAGTGAAATAAAAAATTAAAACAGTTTTTCTGACTAGAAATTCTTACAGGTCTTCTCATGTTCATCATGTGCACAACTTCACTAAGATGGAAAGTGGTTCAGTCTTTGGACTAAGACTACCTTGAAACGTTTTTAATTTGAGGCATTGAAATTAGGATATTAAAATCCATGTTATTTTAAATTACTTGATCATTATTTTTTTAAGTTCAAAATATATTAACCCTATGAATTCAAAATAAATTTATTGACCAGTGTTTTTCCAAAACTTTGTTAAATAAATGGACTGAGTGAGTTTTGGATTTTTGATTTGTAGAATCTCAGTTATTCTGGAGGTAGTTATCCTGGTGGTCAGCCACCTACAGGAGGTTATCACGGAGCTCAGCAAGGTGGTTATCCGGGATCAGGTTATCCAGGTGTACAACAGCCAGTTTCTGGTTATCCTGGTGGCAGCCGACCAGGATCAGGTTATCCTGGTCAGCCACAACAAATGGGTGGTTATCCAGGAGCACAACCTCAACAAATGGGAGGATACCCTGGGGGACAACCTCAACAGATGGGAGGATATCCTGGGGGACAACCTCAACAGATGGGAGGATATGCAGGTGCTCCTGTTGCTTCAGGCATTAGTCCTGAAGTTCAACAGTGGTTTAATGCAGTAGATGAAGATCGATCAGGGCGTATTTCTGCGAAAGAACTTAAGAGTGCACTTATAAATGGTCAAGGAAAGAATTTTAGTGATACAGCATGCCACCTTATGATTGGTTAGTACTTTATTTATATAGTTTTTGAGTTTTGTATAAGAAAACATTTTATTTCAAGCATTAATTTAGTCAAAGTAATGCTGCCTTATAGGTTTTAGGTTTTCAGTTAATGCTGTAGTCATTAAGGTATCACTCACTCTATGGTGCAGGATTGTTACTTGGCTTGTCAAAGAATAGCCCACTTTATTTATGGAACTCGAAGGATTATCTCATATTTATAAAAGCCTGCCACCGGTCTCTATCTTGAGCTAGCTGAATCCAGTTCACTTCATCAATTTTCTCCATAAGTTCCTTCTTAACATTATCCTCTCACCTGCGCCTAGATGAGGTATAATATACTTTTGTTCATCTGAGACACTTGTCTCAATAATTTTTACTTAAAAATGTGTCTGCTTAAGTCTAATGTTGGGATATACTTATAATTAGTGTAGAAGTAGTTGTGTGAAAGGCATTCTGCATTAATATTTGGGGAGACTTGTGTTTTCTTTACCCTGGCTACAATCTCATTCACCACACAGTATTAGGTCCCCCAGTTATCGCCACCCGCTTCTCCTTTAAGTGGGTTGTATATGACAATATACCAGTCTGACAAGTACTGCTGCCTTGCGGAATATACTGGGTGGTTAGGTCGTCTCACTGTAGACAACTGTGTATGTTCAAATGGTAAACATTTTGGAGGACCTTATTGCTTCCACTAGCATGGCTGAAGATGGATGTAGTATGTTCCTCCAAAACACTGATATACAGCCAGAAGGGTATGCAGAAACCAACCCTAACTACCACTATCCATACTTGCATCATCATGAACACCTCAAATCCTACAGAAAAGAAGTTGCTTCAATATGTCACTACTGTGTAGCATTCTGCATTGTGTCCAGGTATGTTTGACAGAGATCGAAGTGGTACTATAGACATACACGAGTTCCAGCTACTGTACAACTACATCAACCAGTGGCTGGGAACCTTCAGGGCATATGATAGAGATGGCTCAGGACAGATTGAGGAACCAGAACTTACTCAAGGTACAGGTTATTACCCTGTTATATAACTGTAAACTGTGTTTCCTGTAATACAGAGGTAAAACTTATCTGCAAAAAGTCAGTCCTGTTTCACACATATTTGAGCCCGTAAATCATTTTGGGACTTTGTCTTGGTTTACTCCAGAATGCATAGTGTCTTCTGCCTACCTTCTGATCCAAAATTTCCACATCCCCATCTAAAGAATATTTTCTTTCACATTTTAAGTGTTTCATAAAAAAAATTAGTAATTAAGTTATGTATCTAAATGAGTGAAGTGTCCAGTTTTACATTGAATGCAATATACCTGAATTTAAAAAATACAAATATAAGGAGTAAAGCAAACAGGACAGTAATTATGACAAAAGTGAGAATGTGAAGAAGAACAGTGATGAGAGTAATAAGATCATTATGGCATGTAAGCGATAAATAATAAAACTATTTAGATTTTTTAATTTCAAACTGAGTTAGGAGCATGGAGTTAATTTTTAGAATTTTATTGAAATCAGAGATAATGGAAAGTTGTACGAAAAATCTGCTCTGGATCTCTAGTCAGTCTCAAACCAAAGTTCTTTGCAGCATTTGTTTGGTATTATACATCTCCACTCAATATATTTAAGAGTAATGAAAATTGAAGTGTAAGTGCACTGCTTTATGTTTGTGATGTTTGTATTTGCAGCTCTGCATCAAATGGGATTCAGGTTTTCTCCAGAGTTCATAAAATTCCTGGTCACGAAGAGTGATTTACAGAACCACAAACACATGTCCGTGGATCAGTTCATTGTGGTTTGTGTTCAGATTCAGAGATTTACTGGTAAGAATCAAGTTGAAGATGTTAACCATTCCTTCAAGAAACATCATACTCAGAAATGGAGATATTTCAAACAAAGGCACCTAAAATACAAAACTGCATTGCATTCCAATAATGTTATTGTCTTTTACCATGGGTTGCTGTGTTTATTCCTCTTAGACATTAGATACTGGAGGATGTACCTGATTCCAACCTCAGATGTGTCCTAAACTCTTGTTTGTGGTTTTCCTTATTCCTTATAGGTAAAAGCCAAAATCCCTTTCCAATTCATAGGACATAATCATCTTTGTATGTTAGATGTTACACATCATCATCATCATATAACCTACAAACTAATGGCCAGAAACAGGTCTTTTTAATTGCAATAGCCATGTAACAAGATGCCAAAAAAATGTTACTGGCATGATATTAAGGTTGTTAATAAATTCAGGAAGAATTTCAAAGAAAAGGAATAAGCTATCTTTTGTTACCAATTAAGACAACACGGATAATTAAGATTTTCAGATAGCATTTCACTGTTGAATATACAGTGATATTTTTCATGAGAGACTGTTCCCATTAATTCTTGCTTAAGTCACATTCCCAAGTCTGTCCACAAAATTTAGGTAGAAAGGTGTGTGAATTATGCAAGGCAACATGCTGCTTCAGTAATTGATCTATCTCCAACTACAGTAACTTAGGTAATGTATTTTAATGTAAATTTGAAGGTTTTATTTTTATTTTAATGTGTGTTTCCTTCCTGGTTTCATTTCAGAGGCCTTCCGAGCACGTGACAAAGACTTCAAAGGTATTATATCAATCAACTTTGAAGATTTTCTTGGTGTTGCATTGAGCTGTTCTGTTTAAAGTACTGTATATTTTTTTCTTTGTAAACTGGTGATAAGGAAATTAGAGTTGTATGAGCTTTCTTAAATAATGAGATCACTTTATACTGAAATATCAGTATATGTTACATAATTTGCTGTTATAAGGCTCAACATATAAAGTTTACATAAATGCAAATTTTGTATGTGTATTTTTTAAGTATGTTAATCTTTAGCTTAACAGTATTCCTACAGTTTTCAGTATTGGTAGTTGCATACTGACATAGATAGAATTTATCATAAGCTTAACTCAGTTAATTTATGATATTAAACATTTTCTAAAAATTGTAATTAAACATTTCAGTATCTGTTGTGAAACCCAGTCAGGTAGTCTGTTGTTTGCTCCCCCACACATGGCAGTATTCTTACTTCAGGCACTGAATTTCTTTCCACTAGTACCAGATTTAAGTAATAATCTTCAGCTACGTGAAAGCTTATGAAGAATATTTGAGATCTACATAACGTATCACTCTCACTGAATCGCAAGTATATAGTAGCAAAGTGGTTATTGATGTCATAGTTTACATAAACTGTAATTGTCTTTGAACACCTTTCTTAAGATTAGGGTTCAGTTATTACATGTATGCACACAATTGCAAAAACACGTTTCTCTCAAGTATTGTAGAGGCAACGTAAGTATAACACTAAATGTACAGCGTCTTCCTTAAGCAAACAGTTGTTTAGTAGTTATGGAATTTCCTGTTAGCATGGAAGCCAAGCATTCATCAGACACCACCAATACTCCACTGAACCTTATAATGAACAAGTTCATTCTGATTCACATTTCTACAATCCATTTTTAGTATTCTTTCCCATCAACACATTTTGTCAATATTAAAGTTATTCTTATTCTTTGCTGTTGTTCATTTACTTATTGAAAATATTTTCTTTAATTTTATGTTTGATAAAATAAGGGTTAAAATCATAGGCACCTATACTTTTTAACTTATACAGTTTTCTAAAGTAATTATTACCTGTTCATTTTGTGTTAGTTTTATTATTCTTACATACACACCCAGAACACTTCACATAGATTAAGCGAATAGAAAAACAGCAAATACTACTTTATGGTTGGGTTGCATGATCAATTAGGAACCTCAACTACCTGGTTAAAGTTCGGAGAGTGAGTGCAAAGTCCCTGTGCACTTATTTCTGCAAGTATTAAATTATATTTCTTACTTATCAGAGTGTCAGTAAATATTGGAAATAAATTTTCACCCATGTATATTCAAAGCTATTGGTCTTATTGTTTGCAAAGACATACCAAATCAATCTGATGTATAGTTTCAAAATATTTCATAACGACTCAAGTTCAAGCAGGAAATTTTGAGAATTATTTTTGTAAACTAAATTTTTCATAGCCCCCCCCCATACTGTTATCCACATAGCTTTTAAATGTCACTGAGAAACTCATTTTTCCTCTGGCAGCACAAAATAAAGATACCTACAGACTATCTGTCTCAAAATTGTGAGATATAGGACAGGTGACTTTTTACCTTAAACATTTTGTAAGTGGTATTCAGTAAAATAAACTTATGTTACTGTTAGACTTAATTATATTTGGACCCCAAATGACAAGATATGTAACTTAACTGATTATTATCAGTAATACCAGAATAAACAATCCATATCTACATGGTCTATTTCCTGTCCTCAGTGGATGTAATAAAAATGCCTAACACTCTCTTGGAGCCTACAATTTCTTTAAGTTGACTCATTCAGTGAACTTCTGGGGCTAATGACAATTAATTTAATTTAACTAAGGGAATCACAATATGCCCTCCTTACTCCTACATCTTTGTCATAGTATGGGTACATCATTCATGTAGGGTGAAGCAGGGATATAGTCCCAGACACTTTGAAGGCAGCTCAGAATATCTGATTAGAACTCTGAAAATGAATGATTGATTAACAGGTCCATGGTGAAAGACTAATAAAATGACAGCAGATTTTGAATCTGTTTTTTGAGAAACAACCTAGGCTCATAGAAAATGCAGTGTAAAATTTGATGAGTGGTGAGAAAGTAAAAAGAAATTAAGTAGTAATAATAGTTTGGCAACACCTATTCAATAAAATACTAGTTAACTGTAAACGATTATAGCAGTAGTGCATCATCATCATCACGGGTTCTACAGCCTATTACAGGCCTTGACTGCCCCAACAATGCGCTTCCATTGGTCCCTATTTATGGCTTTCCTTATCCATCTCTGGACTCCGAGAGCTTAAAGATCTTGTTCTACACTATCAAGCCACCTAATGGGGGTCTCCCTCTCTTTCTTGTTCCTTCTATATTGGTAAATGTTACTTTCTTGCTTGGGTGTGCTTCACTGGCTCTGTACATGTGTCCCAGCCACCTTAGTCTTCCTGTCTTTATTACTTTAATTACAACAGGTTCATTATATAAATGGTATAATTCATCATGCCAACTCCCAAAATATGGTGGTCTTGTTTTAGAATACCGAACTATGGGCTTGTCCAAAAACCAGCAATAATGAAAACACTAGATGTATATTCCATAAATAATAAAGGGTGATCGAAAAGTCACACAACCCATATTAAAATATTTTATTGTTGCAGTTCAGTACAATTTGACTGGATAAATAAACACACAGTATTACTGTGACTATAAAAGAGCCTGCGCAGGTCATACCATGTTGTAACCTCCTTGTGCCTGTCCATCAGTTGTCTTCAGTCGGATACATTTTCTGATTCTCCTGTGCAAGAAAGATCAACAATATTTCATGTGGTGAACCATTTCTGGTCATCGCAAAAACTATTCACTGGGTTGCAGCAGGCATGAAAAGAGAGTGCTTGCCGCATTGCTGAATGAATTGGATATTTCCAACACTTAATTCAGCATTGTTTTTGAAAATGTTTGTCTTCAGGGTTGTTGTGCCTTGTAGTCTCGTATAAGGTTACCGACGTTTCAGAGGTCCATGCTGCCTCCATCATCAGGTAAACTTATACCAGACTACACAGTGCAACAACCCAGAAGACAGCCATCTTCAAACTCACTGCTGTGAAAACCTCAAATCCTACAACACTGTTTTTGTTTTATGATTTCAGTGTAATTTATTTTTTGACAAATTTAATGTATGTCAGGGATGGGTGGCTTTTGATCATTCTATATAATAAACATTTCTGTTCTAATATGAGAAAAATTAATGATAGATTTTATTCAGGTATGTTCATATGGAACATTTCAGTCCAAACCATTTTATTACACTGCACAGTTTAAAATAAAAAGACCTCACACAGAATGTTTGTCATTTCATTAAAGACCTGGAAAAGCGACAAGAAAATTATGCCAGCAGATATGACTGTACAGAGATTGCAGAATGTCCAGTTAAAGTAGTTTTAACATTTAATTGTTAGGACTTTACTATATGATTTTGGTGGTAGAGTTCTTGATTTTAATTAATTCCTTCTGTTTATTTGGAGCTTTTAAATTGTTTTTGTAGGCCGATCTTCACTGCATTTCAGACCCTTCTGTTTTTCACATTGTTATGCAGTGTGCAGAAAGCTCCACAATAGTTGTGAATTAATATTTACAGACAGAAACATACTTTGAGAAGCAAAAGTACATCACATTGGTTATGGAGCCTTGTAACTGTGAAAAGTTGCATATAGTTCATCCGTTATTCCTTCAAAATTACCTTATAAAATCATATTAACTTTACACTGCTTCAAATAATGCCCACTATGGTAGGTTTGTTGTAATGGGGCATACTTGTAATTATGAGTTTCCTGTATTTTTTATGTAGTGTTAATAATACTTCTGAACTTTTTCTTGCAACTTTTCTGGGTTTTAAGTTATGTGATGTAGACTCTACTCCTTCAAAGCTGTAGTGTACGAACTATTAATTTGCAATAAATACAATTTTGTTTCACAAGTGTCATGTGGTATAATGAAGCAACAAAAGAAATTCTGTTACTGGTTTAACCATTATAAATCCCCCCTCCCTGGAAAGAAAGGATTTATCCTAAACATAAGTAACACTGACTTTTATTTTCAGACCTGAGTACAGAATATTTTCTTTGTATTTTCCATAAAATTTGTGTACTTGTGTAATAATTTACAACTTATTATCTCTTCTCTTATTTATATATGTATAGCTTTTATAATAGTAATAAAAAGCATCTTTTTAAGCCAGTAATGATACAGCAAGCATATTTACATATCATTGTATAAAAACTAAGCCAGATGACATTTTAAATTACAATATTCATTCAGCATAATATACAACTTAATCAGCATGTATTGTCAGTTAAAATGACTTCATTTCCAACTTATTTGGCTAGGAATGTGAAAACAGACCAGTGAATATTTCTTTATAGAATTCTAAAGATACGCTATAAAATCATAGCCAGATGTTAATAAATTGATTGGAGTAATTTACATTATCTTATATAGGAGCTTACTAAAGGTGATATTCTGAAATATAAAATGTAGAAAACTTAAAGTAACAGCAGAAACAGATACTGTCTGATACAGGAATTTGGAGAATGAAGAAACTGAATTTGAAGACCTGGAATGATATAAAGGACTTTCTCGGTGATTCATATTTTAAAAGTGGGAAGGGGAAGGCATTGTTTTCCTGATATGCAATGTCAAATCTCATTATTGACACAACCGAATGTGATGTCATTATTCCTTGAACAACTGGATCCTCATTTCTTTTAAAGATTATTCTAATAGCAGTTTACTACATCTCACTATCCAGTGTCTATATGGATATTAAACTGCCACAAATCTCTCATCACGCGTAACCTTTATTTAGTAAATTATATAAACAAAGTTAATACCAACACACGTACTTAGGAATTATCTATAGTTGAGTGCATCATTTCAACTGATGTTTACAGTTTGATTACGTGTATATTCAGGACTGGCTTGAATTGGGGAAGGGCATTTCAGGGCAGGTTATTTCACACAGGCATGCCCTAAAAGACTGGATGAAGTGGTAAAAGAGGAACAGAAGATTTAAGTCTAGATCATGTTTTAATAACATCTAACACGCAAATAACGAAAACTTCTTTCAAGTACAGATGGTTGGAATAATAGTACTGTCAATGTTTCCCCAGAAACATTCGAGCCAGTTCTGTTTATATTCAATCACACAACATGTTAAAAACATACGAGCTATTGGTGCTGTAACAACTGATAGGTAATGCTTGTTCACATTCCTGCATCATGTTAGAAATGCACCAGACTTATATTAAAGCTTGTACCAGATCTTTGATATTAACTATCATTACATAATGAATTATTAAAACAATAGTATTATAACAGTGAATTGAGATGGATATCCCTTAAGAACTTGACAAAATGTTAAAAACATCTTGTAGGTAGCAAATGTAACTCAATATATTACGATTCAGTGTGAACAGACGGCACATTTTGTGTAGTAATGACTACAGGAAAGGATGAAGCATGGCGATTTTGATGGCTGTGTCATTTATTTTGTTCCACAAATGTCCAGTAAAGTTTGTACAAACATGGTACATGAAATACAGCTTTCTAGTCTGTTATCTGCTTATTCACTGTCATTATCTACAGCTCAGTTCTTTCAGCTGTAAAAAATCGAAGGGCAGGTTATTTGTTGTACAACATTTTTCAGCAAATTTATATGTCACAAAATACTTTTTCAAGTTTAATAAAAGTTTTTGTTCACTACAAATTTTGTACAATGGAGTTATTGAGGTTTTAAATACATCTGTACCCTAAAAATAAATCCTTTCAAATAATAATGTTTTTAGGTGTATCCAAGAACCTAAAATAACTTTAGAAGTATGTTGTAGCAAGTCAAGTGACATCTGAGCATGTTTCTTCTCTAAAAATGTTTAGAGAAGAAACAACCAGCATTTCTGTGCAAGAAATCTAATTTGTTCATTCAAAATGTTAACGGACATTCACATGCATGGAAATGAAAGAAGAAAAATAAATTGTATGGTGATTTTTTGTTGGTATTGGGGGAAATACAAAATATTAACTGTTGCACATTGTTAATATCAGATGAATTGTCTCTGAACAAGATAACATTGCATCCCTGCCATAGATTATTCCCATCTTGTTACAGGTACACCAGACAACGGCAAGCCTAACCACATCATTAGATTGTATTTGTGGGCCTCCACAATTTACGCTTAATGTTGGTAAGAAACTCCTTATCACTGTGGAGAGATGCTATACTTGCCCTGACTTATTTAAATTTGGAGCAACTTGAATTATTATAATCTTGAACTATGCATCAATTTTTCACTACTGTTTACTTGGAAGTTTGGAAAATATTCTTCTCATTTTCTATAAAATAATGTTTTGTTGGTTCTTCACTTGTATGGCTAGAAAAGTTTCCTAACACAGTACCAGACCTTGGTTTGTTATATACCTTCAGTGCTTTATTCACACAACTGACATTTCTGGTCACAGATATAAGGCAAAATACTATTAAAAGAAAAAGGTTGGCAGTTAGGGACTAAAATTTATGTCGACAAGTTTATCCTTATAAACAAACAAATAAATATATATATATATATATATAAAAAAACTATTTTAAGTATCATAGTATGATTCCTCTGACTCCTCCATCTGCCAGTCTAAACTTTCATTCATAACTTCCTGGTTTTAAATTAATTCACAGAAGTCAAGTTGTATTTTCATAACCATCACTCACGCTGAATCACGGTTCCTTGAGTTGCATTAATAAATTTCACAGTGAAGTACATTTGCCCACTTAAGTTTGTAAATGTTTTCTGAAGCTATTCCAATTGTGTTTGAAGTGTATGCATAAAAATTATCTGCACATTCATTTCTAGGAAGTAGCTTTTTATTTAATTTTCTGTATCCTTATGCCATATACTTTTAGATTATTTGAGATTATCATCATTATCACTTTCAGTTAATGGGTTTATACATTTTTCACACATACATGCAAACAGTATTGAAAAAGGCAGACTATACTGATCTGTGGGTGTAACTTCCCTTCTAAATTGTCTACACAAACAAAACTATTTGCCTAAAAAGTTTGCATAAATTAAACTTATGTGGTGCCTCAATGGTATATATACAAAATGATGAATATTGACAGTTCATTTTTCCTTTACAGAATACAGAAATATTAGGGGCTGAATTCTGATCTGCACTGCATTGTTATTATTGATTTAAAAGAGCCCCAGAAATATGTACATTACTATTTTATTACTTTTTTTTACTTTAAAATGAATAATACAAGCCCCTTTATTGCATTATTATGTGCAGTGGCTGTCTTACATTTCTAACTCAAGTTTTCTTTTCTTCAAACCCTTTATATTATTATGAAGGTTGGACAGACTACTGCAGCAATTATAGTACCTTTAGGCCTACAAATTTAACTGAATAATTTGCTCAGTTTATTGTAGTATGATTTTTTTTTAAAAAAAATCTGGCCCAAGTTTTACATGTTTCATAGTTGCTACATTCAACTGCTCTTTATATTTTGAATTGTGGGAGTTCCTTTTGACATTACTGCCAACTGAACACAAAATTATATTTCCACAGACTTTATTCTCACATACACATATGGGGGACACAGCATATTGTCATAAGCCTGTATTATTTTTCTCTAAGGAAACAAAAGTAACGCGGAAAATTTTGTGTTTTAAGAAGTGAATTCCAATTACAACTAGTCTCAACTTGACTTTGTTTCTGCAACAGTTACAATTTGCAATGCAGCATGATCCCACAGTGGAACTGCTAGAATCGTTCTGAGATAGCAATCAAAGCAACTTACCTAGATTATTATAAAATGATGAGAACGACGTCTTTGTGCACGTCTAACACACTACATCGTTCAAATTGTTAGAGTATTACTCGAAAAAGTTAGTGAGAAATTTCTAAACATTTTTCCTGTACGGTCTGCTTGCGAGTGCTTTCGTGTTCCGTTTCAAACTAACTCCTGCGCAAAGTACGTTCTGGACTTCCTCCCCTATTACTTTCCATTTCTGTTTCGTGAGTTCACTCACAAAGTTTCCGGATGTGTGTTGTGTTCTTGATTCTGACTCCTACAAATTTACGATGAACTTTCCTCCAACCCTTTTTAAACACCACCATCGCAAACGTCTCATATTCATCTGTAAGTTATTTGACCCCATCCACTCACAAGTGTTCGGCACTAATACAACCTTCTTCACTCATAGACGAACCAAAACAGTAAATATGCTGACGTGTGCAAAAACGCCCAGTCCAACTTACTGCAGCAGTCTGTGTACTGTAATCGGTGTCTGACGGATTCGTACTGCACAATGTTATTTCCTCGGTGCACTGAGACTTGCCGCGTGGTTGTCGGGAAATCGCAGAAGCATTTAACTGTATAGCAAAACTCACTGTAGACAGATAAAAATAAACAAAACTTTGGAGAGAACATGATACATAACAGAGAATAAATACTGTTAAAATATACAACCAATTTCCTTTAATGAAAATAAGCCATACACCGTAAGACGGCAATATGATTTTTATTTTTTATTTGTTGCTTCGTACTGCATAGAAACTACTAGTGGTCAGACAGGTGACTACCTCAATACGAAACCTTCATATAAGACAGACACTTGAAAACCTGTCTCCCTACGAACGATAAAGACTTGTCTGAAGATGGATGCCTTCTGGAATATTGCGCCGTATAATCTGGTAGTCACCTTGATGATAGGGGCAGTAAGTTCCACTGAACCGTCGGTTAATATCTCCCAGACTACAAAGCGCAACATCCCAGACGACAGTTATATTCATACTCGTCGCCGTCAGAACGTGAAACCTCACAAAGCCCTGCTTGTTTACACATTTATTCTAGTTCGTAGGATACAATAATGGGAAAGCTCACGTAAATACGCTAAAGAAAAAAAACTTCACAGGCCTAACCTGTGACATTCCCTTCCACGCATGATGGGGCAGACTCAAATGAAACAGCTTTCTAGAGAATCATTTACAATGAAATAACTTTAGGCTTATAATTTTAACATAATCTGCAAAACTGTAGATGACTGGTGGTTTGTGGCAGAAAAAAAGCTGCTTAAAATACTTTTAACATAAAACTAAATGTTAAATTACGTCTTTTGTATAGGAACGTTCTTGGTTTGCAAATTTAACCCTTCCAGGACTTCGTGCCTGTAATTTGAAACGACACAAATGCTGCTGAGCTATTGCAGGACCGAATGTCATGAATTGCTCGGCCACGTCATTAATTAATGGCTGTGGGAAGTAAACTAAACCATTACGGATATCTCAAGTTAAATTACCAGCAGTGTACTCAGTGAACTGTCATTACGGAACATGGGGCTGGCCTTAGGGGCGGACAAGCTGGGCTCTTGTCCATAAAACTTGGCTGAAGGAAACGCAAAACTCTTTATCATCCAGTGCTACTGACAGCCTCAATGAATAAACCACAAATAAATAAATTGGGTGCCATATCCGAAAAGACCCAGTTAATTAAAAATTGGCAAAATAATTGCAAAAGCTATATTTAGCTGTCTCGTGGTAAATAATAATATGCCGTGTAATAAACTCTATACCGTACCTTAGAATATATCCACATAAGAAAGAGTTCTGACAATTTAATGCAATATTCAAAGATTTGTAGGATAGGATTTTGGAAGTATTTCTTGTTCCTATAATTGAATGTATCCACATATGAGTTATACATACAAAACAAATATCTGGATTAGAGTATGTGTAGACACGAAGTACGGCTGAACATGAACAATGTCATAAGTTTTCACACTGGACTGTGCCAGATTAATGTTGAAGTAAGAGAGACAAACAGGTGAAGAGAAATATGTAGTAGACATTTAATTTGGAATCGAGTATAATTTTGTAATGAAAGACGAAAGTGAACATTTTGTTCTTCAACAGTGCCACACCAGTTGTAACGTTTATTTTTATAAGAGTCAGTAATGGTTTCTAAACAAGGAAGAATTGTATAATCTAATAATTCTGCCTTGAAACAATATTTTTAAACTTTAAATTAAATTTCAAAACTTTACATGGACTAAATTAATTTTAATTATTATTTTAATAATTAATTTAAACTTGTACATACATTGTTACGTACTTTTCGTGATTTCTGCCAACTTTCAACAACCACCAAAGAAAACGTAACCTTGTGGCATAAAACATATTGTCATAAAACATACATGTTAGTAGTCTTATTATAGCAACGGAAGGAATATCATTCAATGTGGTAATATGCAGAAAGGAGTTAAAATAAGATGTCTTGCAACTGAATGAATATATCACTTGTCTTTTTCAGTTTCTTATTAACCTTTATCATACATGATTTAGGAATTAAAAGCCCCTGAGATAAGGGGCTGCTGGCTGGACTCAACTATTTTGTTTAACAGTTTAATGGTGTGCTGAATTACATGTGAGAAGTGACACATGTCGATAAAGGTTAATTGTGTCAATGGAGAAGTCTCTTGCTGATTCTTTTCTTTATATTGTAAAATCCAGACTCTGTTTTAAACCAATGTCTTGCAATGAATGCAGGATTGATACACTTAATGTTTCAAGGACAAAGAGAACCAAAATATTTTAACTACTCACCAGCTGCAAACACATCAAAGATGTAAAAAGATTTCTAAAATGCAGATCACATATTCTCAAGTATTTAAAAGTCTTATTTCATATAGAAAATAATGGTCATACATATTTCAGTTACAATCTGCTTCTGGCTAATACAAGTGCTGGTCAATATACAGAACAACTGCCATGAAATTTTGATATTATCATTATTATTATTGTTGTTGTTGTTGTTGTTTTTGTAACAGTATTCTAGTTTCTCATTACTGTACTCAAATGTGTGCCTTTATGTCTGAGTGCAGATATCTAATTTTGATTGATAAAGATTTCTGTCTAAATTAAATGTATCTCACCCATTTTTAAAATGTTATATAGAGTGTGAAAAATATATTTTATAGTACATTTGGTGTGAATTTATTTTCTACTATTTTGTATAAAGTTCATTTCATATTAACATGCATGCACTTTCTCCTCATAGCAAAATTAAGAATCAAGCTGATGTGAAATCTGCAACTGCCATAAAGCATGTGCAGTAATAATAACTATTCATAATATGAGGTGACTTTTTAAATATATTAATATCTATTTTATGAAAATTCATTGTTTATTTTCTCATTGGTTCAAGTTTTAAATTCGAGAATATATGAGCATTAAATGACCTTGCAGTGCTATTCAGCATTTTGATATATTTTCTATGTATATAAAGAAGTATTCATATTATTGTAAGCGTCATCTTGTGCCCTCTATTTGATCCTTAAACTTTCTATGTGGCAAAAATGTCTATAAAGCTGTGACTTTTTGTAATTATTTGGTTTTGTTTATTTAAAGAATTCTAGTCTAAATTATAGTAGGCCCTATTTCCATAAATGGAAATAAAAATTTGTGTTCAAAATATTGATGCTGGACATTACAGAAGTAAATAAATTGTTTTGAAAGTAAATTAATGAAATTGCATTGTTGTGTTACTTTTAAATATAATGAAACAACTATTTTAATATCACCTTAATTAATTTAACTTTTATGATGAAAATATGAATTATTTAAAAATCACTTTTATCAGTTCCATCCTTAATCTCATCAAGTTTCTATACATCTCAACCTTAACACTTTTATACTTATAGCAACTGAAATAAACAATATCAACAGTCTCTTAACAACATCAACAATAGGATAAAACACAGGCAAAAGTTTAACAATTACAGTTGTCTGTTTAACCTGGAGAGATCCTTATAAAATTGTTAAAGTTGTTTCCATTGTTAATGGAAATAAACATGAAACATACAATCTTGAAAATCATTATTGTTAAAACACTTGTCATGAGAACTATTCTTTGAGGATAAGCAAAATGAAGTTTTGACCATGCTTCATATAAATCAGTCTTCAATGTACTCAGTGTAACAAATGAACCCATAGTAAAACGATTAATAAGATATGCAACAGAAGATGGTATTCTTGCTCTTAAGGCTCAGTGCATGTTTGCAATATTTTATTTGAAGACATCCTCATTTAAGCTTGTATAATCATGAAGCATTCTATAAGCAAACTTACCATACAACTAGATTTTGGTGCCATAAAATGGGATAAATAAGATGATTTACATTAGAGAGGATAGTTCAGAAAGAGAGGCTGAAAGAGCTAGTGGTCAAAAACAAAGGTAGGAAAGCTGAGAGAAAAATATTATATAGTAATTTCTTCATGATAAAAAGCTGTTTACGAGAGAGGCTTTTCATAGAAATAGGAAGCTTTCACTTTTTAACTGTTTTATCATACTAAAATATTCCATAGAGCAGAGTCCTTTTTGAGAGACTAATAGTTGTTCTGTAAATCCAGAAATTCCTCACTCCTTATGAAATCCAAAGGTACATTACCATATTCACAAATGCTTGCCACCGGGCTCTGTCCTGAGCTACATGAACCCAGTTCATATCTTCAATTCTTTTCTTAATATCCATCCCATCTCTGCCTAGGTCTCCAAAGATGTCTATTCACTTCAGACTTCCTAACAACAAAATGTTATACACATTCATTTATTTATTTTTTGTCATATTTGAATGAGCAGTCATGTCCATCCTAAATGTTATTTTAATTGGGACCCCTCCCAATACACAAACTTCTAAACAGCACATTTAAAGCAACTACCAGATTTTTATTTTGAAAGTTGCAGTGTCATATTAATTTTAAAATTTGTGCTTCCCACCATTTAAAATTACTTTAATTACACTAAATACATTTAAGAATATTCTTTTGTCACTATATTTAGTTTACATAGATATTTTGAGATGAAGTTTATAGCTATTTAGATGTACTTCCTCATTCCTCACTGAATCACAGGGTTTGGCAAGACTCATAATCACAGCTTGAGAAAGTAATCATTATCTTACCAGAGTTTAATTAAATATAAGGATTAGTATTCACAGAAACTTATTTGTAAGTATGTAACCAATGTTTTATCATTTCTAAGTTTACGCAAGCAAGGTATATCACAAATTAGCTGTCACACATGTCTCATGCTTCCTGTACAAATCATTGAGTGGATAATGTATAGCCTATGAATGTATTCTTAGAATTTCTTCATGGGTTACTTAGTTACAGTACGGCATGTCCTCAAGTTGTAGATGGAGGAGACAGACTCCAGATATGGAGGTTAACAGATGCAGTTGCAGCGGCAGAAATAAATTAAAAAAGGGTGGTCCTCAAATCTGTTGTATGGGTAGATGTGGGGGCTAACAACTCTTCACCATACAAAATGTTATGTAGGATCTTGGATAGGTTATTGTCAACAGAGTAACAAACCTTTGGGTTTTATAAAAGGTGGGGAATTTATTGAATAGCTGAGTGACTATTATCTTCTCAAGAAGGACTATGCTTTATGAAGTTGGTGTTATTGAGTAAACAGGATCCATAAAATAGTTCAAGTTCATTCCCAAAAACGTGACCCCATTATATAAATCAATAAACAAGTATACAGTATGCAGTGAAGTGAGACATCCAAAAAAACAAGCTTTGTTCTTCCTTCTTTAGTTACTGTTTCAATTTTACCATCTCCAACATCTATATAAATATTTGGGGCACCTCTCCCAACAAATGGTCAAAACTTCATCTTTCTAAGTAAATCCATATATACCATAAATATATCATATAGTTGGAATAAAAACTGGAAGTCTTTTGATAGCTTACTCTTTCTTGTCTTTACTCATGCTAACTTCAATGTTTCTTCACCAGTATCAAATGTTTACCAAACTCTTACACCTCAGGAAGGACTTAAGAGCAGACAGTTGTAAGATAAAACTTTTTCAACTTGTTAACCAATTTCTGTCGATTATAGTCAACAGACTTAATTCTAAATAATGTTATTATCCACTACTTAAATTCTGATTTGCACTAAACTGAAGTCATCACTTCAATATTTAAAACTAGTAGAGACCAAACCTAATAAACAAAAATTAAAAATCAAATACTTCAAGAACCCTGATTACTCAATGCAGAAGCCCGATTTAATACAATTGAAGTTCCAATTATAAATACATCCCTCCAGAATTAAAAAATAATACAGATAACTACTGTTTAAATTAACAGCAAATCCTGATATAATAATTTGTATACTTTGGCTTAATCAGTGAAATATAATATCATTATATCAAAACATCAGCCGCTCTTCTTCTGTGCCACTCTACAGATTTAAACTGTTACAGTTATTTTAGTTAGACAGGACATGATACAAAAGAAAGAGTGAATTTAATTCTAAATACTTCTACTAGTAATATCAAGTAAGACACTCAATAAACTGTAAGAAGCATGCTACAGCAGTATCCTAGCCACAGAAATATACAATAAATTTACCCACTATGATAGCCTGAGTTCTTATATTTTGACTTCACTGAATTTCATTAAATGGAAGGCACATTTTTTGTTCAATTGGAGTTCAATACACTTTACTCTAAAAATACTCCCTTTGTAATTTTATAAATTATACATAATAGATAATATAAATAAAATAAATGTAAGCTACATGGTATGACAGGACATATGATCAACATCTAGATCTGATAATTCCTCCTCCAAAACCCGAACTGTAGACACACTCCAGCGAAAGTAACATATTGATACAAATTTAACCAGCTGATCTGAACAAAATAATATTTGAACACTTAACAGAATTCAAAACAATCTTGGATCATAACTTCCCTATTATTGAAAACTCTTGTTTTTGATTTTGTTTTAAAATGTTTATGAACCCACTAAAATTTATTTTCCTGTATACAGTATCTACTATACACAACTTGCTAGAAATTAATGTATAAACATAAATAAGTTTATAATTCTTGGACTCATATATGGCATATCTTATTTCAGAATGAAAGAACATTTTTATAAGGCATAATTATCATAATAATTTCTATAATTTTGTGCATTATACTTCAGAGCCACTGAAAGTTGACAAACATAATATTGCAATACTTAGCTTCAATATCAAGTTCAATGTGGGTGAAAACAAAATTCTTAGGGCCATAATTTGATCTAATGGACAGTTAGTTTTAACAGTAATATCTGCACATTTTAAACCAACTTGAATTTATAAAGAAAACTTCAGCTTGGGTAATCAGGATTCTATTTAAAGTCAAGAAGTAATCAGGATTCTGTTATAATTAAACATCTTAACACATTCACTGCCACCTGACACACAAGTCGCACCCACTCTAGGCACGAATGACTAACAAGCATATCTGGTGGTGTCAGTGGCTTGCCTGTCTGATTGGGTTGGCATCATGATTTGGGTTCTTCTCACTATAATGCCACTCACACTAAAGTTTAAGTTACATTTTCATAAATTTCGTTTCTACCTCCATGCTTGTCAAGGTCTAAAAGTAATGGAAGATAAAAGTGATGATTTCTGTATTACAACTTTGGGTTTTTCATTACTAAAGTACAATAGTGTATTGCAGTAAAAAATATAAGAATTATGTAAATTTAGATCTATTAGAAACAATGTGAGGCAATACTAACAGTGAGTTTAGCAATTTAACTGTTTGAAAATATTACTAACAATGTATACTTACTCAAGAAGAACCTTTCAATTGATAAATCAATGGTTCTGTGGAGAGGACTATGTTTTTGATTAATTTAAATATACTGTGATTGGCATAGATAACAAAGGGGCCAAACAATGAAAAAGCCACAAGTGATACAACAAATATATATCAGGTGTTGACTGGCAAGATCTGATTCTTTGATATTTATCTCATGAGAGAAAAACAATTCAGAAATATAAAGAATAGAGACTGTCATTCCATATGATAATGTTCAGACCTTGTGGTATCTGGTACCAGTTGTCTTCTTTTCATACTCAAACAATAAGACCTAACACACCTATGGCCACAAAGCGTATGTCAACTACATGCAAACCAAATGAAAAGGGGAAAGACACTAAAGAAACACTGCAAAGTATGCTATGAAAATTATGTGAAAATCCAGTTCTTTCCTTGGAACCATGTTTTAGTTAGTTTCATCAATGAAAACAATGTTCCCATAGTTACTAAATGTTGTAATAAAATTTCAATTGTTATTGTAAGGAAGGACATGGCAACTTCAACAACATATGAGTACTTTACTTGGGCTGAGCTTGTTGTTTGCCTGTAGTGAAAACTAATTTTGTATTTTTAATGTACTTTCTAGTATTTTAACTATCAAATTAATGCCCTCTGCATGTGTTCTGACCAGCATGAAGTATGAACCACCATTTAGGCTGGGGCCACACGACCATACAAAGTACGCGCGTACGACACGTGTGTTGTACCCTATATGCCCCTTCATAATTCTATGACGGATGTCACGACGTGAGTTACAACGGACGTATTTGTACGGTCGTGTGGCCCCAGCCTTACCAGTAACACTTATGCACATTCACACAAGGTTCCTTTGCAAAAAACTAAAATATAATAGCACAGATAATATCAGGTGCATTATATCACACAAAACCATAAAAAATACACCAGTTATTAGGGTCAGTCATGTACTTCGTTAAGTTGGCAGTGAATATGTTAAATTTGTTTTCGTTAACTGAAGGATAAATTAAAAATTGTATGATGATGCCAGGGGTTCAAGCTTTTAAAAATAAACTGGCTTCCATTTAATTACTTTGACAGTATGTAGGTAGATTCATTTGAGTGTCCTAATAATACTTGTACTTTGAAGGCTCTTTGGCAAATGTAAATTTATGTAACCAAACAAAGATATTTAATTCTGCAACAGTTATAAACAGATTGTGTAGAAAGTAATTTTTAAGGATGATCAATATTTACATATGTGTATGAATGTGTGTAAACACACACACACACACACTTTCAGATGTGGAAATTGATTTCAAACGTTGTGGATGCTTTGGATCAGAGCGAAGCCATACAAATTTACAACGGTGATGTTTTCTGTTATATTTTACAGCTAAGAATAATGACATACTCAAAACGATACTTGCCTGTAAGATATTTCCATTGTTTTTCTTTTATTTATATCCATTAATTATTTCAGCTGTAAATTTTAACACAACAATTTATAGACCTATATAATAGCCCATAAAATAACAATTAAATAATACCTAATCCTTTCAAAACATTAAAGAAGATATGTCTACATTTCTAGCACACACACAAAACAGAACATTATTTAGCTTTAGTTTTGTTAGCCTACTTTCCTTATTCCCACAGGAAAACTTTGGTTTATGGGACCAACGTACAAATTTGTGTGTATAGCCCCACCTCTTACCACCAATATTTAAACCAGCTGGCATATGAGCCATTTCATATCAGTAAATCATACATTTCTATAAACAATTATTTAATGTACTTGTACTGTACCTCCTATATTTTGTTTCTAAGCAAATATTAAAGGTACAGTGCAAAATGTATTAAAATCATTGCAATTGCAGCATTCAAAGTATAATATGCATTATTTTGGACACTCAAAAGATGTTTTGCATAATCCCCCCAACTAAATTATGATGATTAAAGTCATATATCACTGATGATGCACCATCACACATAATCACTTGTGCCATATCATCAACAGCACCACTTCTACAAACAGACTCACTTCACTGATGCATTCAACACCTGAAACAAAACATAGCAAAACCAACATAACCACACATTTTCAGTTACCTATTATTAATTCAACCCAGAAGAATACTTTCAGACCAGTGATTCATGATCTACTGTGAAAGGAATCAAACTGTCCCTATCATTGATACAGCTGTTAGCCCAGGAATATTTTATTAACATCAATCACCATGAAAGCTTTATATCATACATGCATAATTTCAGTTCTTTTACTCACCCTACTCTTACAGTCACCTTGTATGACTCTCAGACATCTTCATTTAGATTAGAAATCACATCAGGCTTCAGAAGGTCCATTTTTTTAACGTCCACAGTGGTTGAACAGTCCAGGCCACATTCCTCATCATCCTGACTGTCAATATGTGACAGGTCCACAGAGGATGCAGCAGGGCTCATAGGGGTGATGATGATCTCTGTTGCAGCTGCAGTCGTACGAAGTAATGCAGTGTCCTCATTTGCTAGAGAGTCATCACAACCTTCCCATGAGTCTAATGTTTCCTCATAAGGTAGTGCCAGTGGTGGTGATGATGATATTGCAACTAATGAACATGAGGAACACATACAATCAAACATTATTAATTATACATATTACATTTAACTGGGAGAAAAATGAGTTGTAAGTATTTTGACAACTAACAGCAATATTTATCATATAAAGCCTAGTAAAATTTTTGAAAATGTCACTTCCACACTTATATAATTTGAAATATGACCATCACAGGAATAATAAACCAAACAGACTACCTCAAGTTTAATAAAACTGACATATCCTGGGAGAAACACGTTTCAAATCTTGGCCTTGGTAGGTATTTTAATCAATCACTAAAGTCGCCTGAGGCAAATTCCATTGAAGGATACCACTACTACTTCCTTTCCTGCTCTAATGTAATTCAACACTAAATAACTTGTGCAACGAATACATTGTTTTAAACAGTCTGCAAACTATCAAAGATAATGAAAATATCAAATCACAATTATTCTATCATATGGAAATAGGGAATTTAAATGCCTGTACTACGGAGCTACGTAGCTGCTGGCCAGACTTTATTTTTGAGGTTAACATTTTAGAAGTATGCTACTGTAACATAATGATGGTAAAGATCAATAATTCAAGGTGTTAGGAGTATATTATATTAATATAATTTTATTTATATTCCATAAGACATGAATCTCATGGTCATGAACTTGAATAAGAATGACTTGTTGGGTGTGAAGACTGTTTAGATTGTGAACAAAGGATATTAACTTCAGGTTTCCATATGGCTCTATGCAATAATTATCATGAAAATTATGATGATGAGACTAAATTAGGTCCCGATTTAATATGATTTATTGAGTCTATATTATGAGGCTGTGGTATGGGTGTCATGTATAATCTTTTCACATTTACAATATCTTTTTAGAGTGTCGATAGCTCAAAATCAGTTACAGAATAATGCAGAACTACACATAATACATGTATAATATACAGACAGTAACTGTAAAATCATTAGCATATTTCTCAAGCAATCCTCAGTATCTTTATTCTTCTTTTTTTAAATAATTTTATGCTATTTTTTATTAAATGCATGTGGAAATAGCGTATAAAATACATAATTAAAATAAAGATTACCACTTTGTGAAGAGTTCTGTTTGATTGCACTGTGTTATGATGGACTGGTATTCTGATGTTTTGGAGAACCACCCTGAAGGTGATGTGACTAAGCTGTAGCTTGGCACCAATATTTACGGTTCTCATTTTCCAAAACTTTGACAAACAAACCCATCATAACATGGTCTCCTAACCCAAGATTAGAAAGACGTCTGGGTACTAAATATTGTGCTAAAGTGATTCTCTGCAGGCTTATGACAAGTTCAAACTCAAACTTTTACATGGGATTATGACAGCATGTGGCTACAGTGCTTTCGAGAGTGAAACATTAAAACATACTTTATTGCTAAGCAAGGGTAAAGAGACGAAGTAAAACTCAACAGCTTGTTCAGTGAAGGTGGTCTCCTTTTTTTTTAATGCCATCATAATGTTTCCAGAAAAACATTCACTATATTATTTCAATTATTACATGCTCCCTTAATCATGTTTGGTTTTATTAATCTTTGTCAGCTGTGTGTTATGGAATAGAATCCAGCAGGACATATGCTGCAGTAGCATACTGCTAAAACATTAGACATCAGTTTCCATCAAGCAGCCATGCAGTAAGGGGTTTGAAATCCCCTGTTATTATACTATGTAGGTTACTGTTTATATGTGTTTCATTTCTTAAACAAAACTTCCTTACTGGTATTTTACTAGGTATACTGACTCACTTTCACAGCCAAAAATTCAATGGGTTAATTATCAAGTTTACCAACTTAACAAGAATGAATTGTAATGAATACAAACGTCTGTCCATTTATCATCGAAAATTTCAGTAAGTAATACACATAATTTTTCTTCTGACATTTATATGAACATGCTGCAACACAATACAATCTTATAGAAAACTCATTACAACAGTCAGATGCAGTCATTGCAACAATCATTTCAGAAGAAAGAACTGGACAAAGAGAAAGAGAGAGAAACAAGAGACACATTTTCAAAAATGCTTCATATCTTGAAACATGGAACATAAACTATAACATAAATATACATGAAGTATGGATGAAGGAATCTTCAGTTAGCCAGAATTTATACATTTATATCTTCACATTTGCAATTTATGTTTTTACTTTCATAATTAAAAATTACTAAAACAAAGTTAGAGCAAAGCAGACCTGTTACTATCTTTAATACAGGATTCACACTGAATTATGTGTTCAATGACAACAGTAATACACTTAATATGAAAAGAAATAAATAAAAGCATTGAATGTTTTAACTTTTAACTGGCAAATATTACACTGCATAGGGAATTTGAAGTTCAATTTAAAAGTATATTTTAAAATATGTTGTGCACAATTGATTTGCATGAGATATGTCATTAAGAAACAATGAAACAATATATGCATACATCCATGCATTGATAGAATTTGAATCTGGTAGCTCTCTGGTGCTATTCTGATTCTGTGATCTGTACTGATATTGAATTCTTGTAACATACACACACACAATTAAATCAAATATATTTAATAATATACACACTAACACAGTTAGAAAAAGGATCAGTATCTGGAATCAGTGACAATATTTTTATCCATATGTCACGGAACTTGGTGTTGCACAAGCTATGTCTAATATGATGAAAAACTGCCTCTGAATTCATCATGAATAAAAATGCACACAACTTTTCATCAAAGAAACACAATACATTGTCCTGAATGACCGTGGAATTAAGAATTCAAATTAATTTTTTTACATGTAAAATGTTAAAACTTATTTGTTGTAACTAATGATTTTACCACATGATCAGTGTGCCATTATTTGAAGCTTACTGCAGCATTCATTCTGAATTTACAATAAAAGTAGCTAACATCACACAGAAGCATAAATTTAGAGATTTTGTCTTTTGGAAGGTTGACTTCTGGGACTACAGTTATAAGGTCCAAATGCAGGACAGGTTTTCATACCACATTATATGCATATGTGATTACTGGAAGTAAATTTGATGCATATGAGTCAAATGCAGAGAGAAAGTAGGTTGACATAAGAAGCTTATTTCTTTATCAAAAGTGTATATTGAATTTTGATGCCCTAACTAATGTAACATGGAAATCACTGTTGTATTTTGGAATCATTACATTTTGTTTTAACTGGATAATAACTTCACCTTACATTGAGTTAAAGCATGTTGAACATGTTTTATATATTTTATGGATATATTTGTGGTTATCACAATGGTGAAAATTTTGTTTGCGCTCTTCTGGGTTATGATGGTGTGTAGTCTTGTAGGTGGTTAGCAACATTATGGAAGAATCTGTTTCCTCCATCTTCACAGCAGAATATCTGAAATGCTGGTAGCCATCTACAAGATTTCTTGGTAACATAACTCAGAATACTGTAACTCATATTTTATTAACTTTCACTTGTATTTTTTTTATTTAGTTTAACTTAAATACAGAATTAACTTGGTCTGAAACCTGTCATTCATTTGTTAGTGAATAACAAAATATTACAGCATTAACATTTGAGCACATGAAAATCAAGTTCAATTACCTTTTGTCCTTTATCTTTGTATTCATAACAATTCACATAAAAATGTATTTAATTTAAAACGTGAAAAAGCATTTATGTGTGGTGAAGGAAAATATTTGCATATTCTCATATACTTTCATACGTTAAGCACTTAATACTTTCTGTTTAGGATGTATTCTATGTCCTTAGCAGTGTTATTTACGAATATGAGGCATATTATGATTATGAGAAGTGTTTATTTGTAATTTTGAGATGCACAATTAATATAAAATACAAACTGACAAGAGTACAGTAAATTTGAACTTAGATGTACACACTTGTGTATGTGTTTGTCAGGGTGGGGACAATTTTCATGGCAGTGATTCTAGAGAAGACAGCCATCTTCAATCTAGCACAATGGTACTGTATCTTAACATCGTCATACAAATCAGAATAAAATGATGTAATCTTATGTCATACCTGGTGGCAAAACTATAAAAAGCCACTATTATGTGCAAAAATTAAAATCTGTGTTATAATTATTTTAAATCCATTTTACTTTACTATCTGTTCACTTGAGTGTCATAAGAACCTGAGTATGAGATGAAGTGACCATGCTTCACCATTAGTTACCAGAAAGTATTATTACCCACAGTGCACAGAAACAAACACTTTGTTGATATGAATAAATGGTGCATATCAGTTTACTAGCATGTAAGAGCAGAGAACACACAAAACAAGTTGGGGCAGGTGGGGGGAGAGGGTGGTACCAGGGAACAAACGTACCACTGAAACAAATGCAACTTATGCTATTGACTCACAATAATAAAATTTGCTGATGCCAGGCAATTATTACTAGTTGACTTTGTGTCGTCAGAGGGAAGTTGAAGACGAGCAATCATCATACGAAGCTGTGAAAAGTACGGTATCAACTGTTTCAAAATCTCCACTGCATTATGGTTGACCAGAAGTCAACTGAGCCTCAATACCAAATCTTCCAAAATATTTTATATTTAACAAAATTAATGTTTTGGTGTTTGAGAGAGGATTGGATAATATATGTATACAACATGTTTGAGATTCAATGAAGTCTTCATAGACAATGAGCCACATCAAATCAACATTTTGAGAGCTGTCTCAGTCATCATCATCAGGGATCTGATAATCTGAAGAGCACAGGATGCCCCATATCAGATCCCTGTTGATAAGAACCAGATTTTTATGACCACCTGATATGGTTGATTGTCCATGAAGAAGACTTCACTAAATTCAGTCACTGCAAAGCTACAGATCATACATGTATGATATTATTTACATAGATAATGTTACTTATGTCCTTCATTTCCAACCATAATGTTGAATAAAATGAGATATCTTACTCCAAAGGCACATACATGATGCTTTGCCTTCCAGACCTGATACTACAGTTCAAGAAAGTCTTGGGTTTAAAAAGTTGAAGCCAGACCATTCATTATTAAATTCTATCCATTTACTACATATCACATTTTTAAGATCAATTTAAATATTATCCTTCCATCTATATTCAGTTTCCTAAATGATCCCTTCCCTTTAACATTTCCAGCTAAAATTTTGCATGAATTTCTCATATTTCCTATGCATGTGACAGTGTTATTTCACCATTTACATAATCCATCCTTTGACTACTATAATTATATTTCATAAAGAGTACAAATTATGAAGTACCCTCTTGGGCAACTGTCTCCATCCTTCTCCTATTTCCTACCTCTTAGATTCAAATATTCTCCACAGACTTCTACTTAGAAACATTCAATATATGTTCTTCACTTAGGGTGAGGAACAAAGTTTCATACTCAGATAAAAAAATAGGTAAAATATTGTTTCTGTACGTTTCTCCTTTAAGTTTTCAGATTGCAGAAGGGAGGCACAAAGATTCTGAACTAAATGTTAGCAAGCATTTCCCACTTGCCTAATTGGAAATCAATATGTAATATTTCAGGTTTTCACAGCAGCAAGTATGAAGCAGCTGTCTTCTGGGTTGTTGCAGAATGCAGTCAGGTAGACCTTTACCAACATTTCAGAGGTGTTTGCTGCTCCATCATTAATTAGGGTGATGAGCCCTGATGATGGAGATTGCAAGCACCTCTGAAACACTGGTAAACTTCTACCAGACTGCATGGTGCAACAGCCCAAAAGACAGCTATTTTAACTACAGTAGTATGAATGTAGACTGAGTTACTGTGGTCCTTCATAATCGTCTGTCAAAGTGAATACCAAGATAGTCTTTAAACTGGCTATAACCCAAATCCTACCTACGTATTTGCCATTCAAGATAATCTTTCACGCTATAAAACATATGGAGTTGAATGAAAACTGTTAAATATTCTAAGAATTAATCAATATGTACAGCCCAAATTTGAAATTGAAAGGCAAAGAAAACCTGTGTGTGAGTAAGTAACACAGTTGATGTGGAAAAATATATGAGCAAGTAAAAGGACTTGGTATATCATTCCAAATTGTAGTGACAGAGTGCACTCTATGCCATGCTGTATCCTAATTTTCTGATCCTCTTTCATTCACTGAACACAATAAACATCCATTTAATTATGTAACAAGATACCTCTACAGAAAATAATTACAATTTTAACCTCTTGTGTTTCAATACCAAGTCTGACTCAAAGATACAATAAATGGCCAATATGCTAACCCATTCCTCTGATTCAATGGCATTTCTCAGATAGTAGCAGCCATTTAAATTTAATTGCCATGCATGCTATGAGCTTTCTGAAGTAGCACACATGGGATAAAAGCAGATTTAAAACAGAATAACTAATAATAAATCCTTTTAAAAGCAATATCTGTATATTTTATCCTACACTATATAATATAATTTGTAAATATTAACATGAATTTAGGAAATTTCTTCTAGTAAAACAAACAAGTATGATCTACTTGCCATATGTTTCTAAAATCAACTAATGTCCAGTATTCAGTATTGCTCATTCTCTGCTCTGTTACTGTATAAATCAGTCCAAATATAATTAATTTCTTCATCTAGTAAACTGTGGTATAAATATGATTAATACTGGATAATTGTCTAATTTGGTTCACATTTTCATCAAAGAGGGTAACATTCCAGAATATCTGTCTGCTGTACTTACTTGTGCTCTCTGTGGTCTTTGGACTACTTTGCTCCTGATCATCATCCAAAGATGCATTGAGAGGTGGTACAATGATTACCACCTCTCCTTCATGCTGGTAAGGATGTGAGACCCCATCTTCTGATGACAGTGGTGATACATACTGGGAGGGAATCGAGCTGACGAAAGATGTGAAATATAAGAAAATAAATCTCTGAATGAGACTGTCATCTTCATACCCATTACCACAAAAACATGAAATCTCTCCTAAATCTCTGAAATATTGCTAAGCTAATTTAATCTAAATGCATGGATGTCTTTCTCCATCTTTTTGTTTTGTGCTGCCCTGTATAGGTAGAGGCACTGAGATGAGTTGATCACTTGTCCAAGGAGTCCTATCATACTTCTAAACAGCTTAAGAAACCTCTTACACAAGATTCAGCAAAGGTCCTTCAAGGACTGTAGAACCATGGAATAAGTAAGTTCCAGCTAAGTATCATTCTAAATAAACCATCCATATCTGAGTCCACTGTTAACGTCTTGTAGTACAATTTTATAACACAGGATTGTCAGTCCAATCCCGAAATTAGAAGATTGGCCATCACTGAGAAAGCTTTGGTATTAACCATGTTGAAACTTCATATTCTGCTATCAAAGAGTCAGTTAAAATACCAGTCATATACTGTATGATTCATTTTAACAGTTATTGACCATGCATTACAGTTTACACAAGGTCCAGCTGATTGTGTATGATAACTAACTAACTAACTAGAGGGCTTACCGAACCCGAAGGTTCATCACCGAATTAACCAAAGTCCTCCACCAGACCCTGTCCTGGGCCAACAAAATCCACTCTCCTTCAACTCCTATCTCCCACAGATCCTGCATGACATTATCCTCTCATCTACGTCTAGGTCTCCCCAGCGGTCTCTTCCCCTCAGGCTTCCCAACCATTACCTGGTGCACACCTCTTGTCCCATCTATGTGCACTACATTGTGTGTGATACACAACATAAATAATACTAAACTGTCAACTTCAAAGTTATAGTCCCATTTGCAATCCCATAATACAGGGGTTTAAATCCCCATTTCCTGTATGGTAAAGGTTAAACAAATATGCCTCTGTTTTCTATCTATCCATAGCCTTTGGCACTCACAATTAAACTGGAATTTAAATGCTGGTAGAAAATGATTTAAAATAGAGATTATTATTACCTAATGTAAGGAAAAAATCAATGTATATGTCAATCACTCAGAGCTGGTACCTACTATGGTACGTGAAGATTTAATGCCAAATGAATGATATTTGTTGGAGGAAATATGAAATATTTTGATAACTAGCTGTGATATCAAAAACGATCAGTGGGAGAGTTAATATTATTTTATAATATTAAGACATTGGGTATGTAAAATGTGTGGAAACCAGCTGCAAGTCTGACATCATGTGTAACTGAAGTGACTTACAGAAGAAACTAACAGAAATGCAGATAGATTATTGTTCCATCATTACAAGCAGAGTTCAACAGAACCAAAGATGTAACTTAGAAAATGGTCCAAGCCAAGTTCATTACCAAGCACTATTGTTGGCTTCATCAGTATCTGATACATCACAATTTAGGTTTATAACATTTCGTATCCAACAATTTTGTCCAGAATAATAACAATAAATCCAAAAACAAAAATAATTGGTGTGAAGGGGTTGTAGAAGAATGGAATGAAGTTTGTTTGTTATATGGCAATGATGAACCAACTTCTAAAGTTTTGTAATGTCAAATGAAATATGACAGGATGTTTGTGAATGATGAATTTGTAAAATTAATTGAAATGAATAAATAAAGAGTTAAAACTACATGAAAAGTTTCAAGTGTACAAATGTATCAACTGCCTAATTGATATGCAAGCCTTCTTTCTTATATTTTTCTAGAACATTTCAGTTTACTTCTTTATGCTTTTCACCCAAGTAGATAGAAAGTAGAACTACTTGCATTTTTAATGTATGCAATATGAGTTTCATTGTGGAAGAGGACATTTTTTCAGTCTTAGTTTATGTGATAAGTCATCACTGACCCCTTACACTGTTCATAAAAACAGACTGTGCATTAGTCAGTATAACCATGTGAGTGTTCGGATACCCATATAATATTTTCTACCTACAAATTTCAATATAACATTCTTAGATATAGAATTAAAATAATATAACATAATGGCTGCTCCATGTTATGATAAGTCTAAACTACATCAGTATATTTACTGACAGTGAAGTCAAAATGATATCACAGTACACTGTACTCTTGTGAAACTGTTCTGTAAATAATGCATAGTGTGCTCTTCACACAAAGGAACTACATCACCCTTATCAGTGAAAAGATTAATACAGTTACCACAGTAAATTGTAATTATTTTTATGACAGAAATTCCTCTTATGACAAATGGAGGAAGTATGCTTATTCATCTATGCTTACCTGAGTGTGACTCTCTTTTTAATCCTGTGCCCAAGGTCTGAGTACCCTCGGTGCATAGGCCTGTGTGGCTGAGGTTCTGCGAAGCTCTTGGATATGGGTGTATTGGGCTCTGAGGACTGCTTATCTACCAGGATAGGCTTTGGCCTTAAGACCGCTGCTGAGACTACAGGGGGAACAGTGGAAGATTGTGAGGTTGATACTGTAATGTGAGGGTTGTGGAGGGAAGTATTGGGACAGGGTGTTGCCCCTGCAGTAGTAACTACTGGAGCTGCACCACCCGTTAAAATGAGGGGTGAATCTGCTAAGTGGTGGAGTGGTAGAGTTAAAAGACGCTTTCTGTCTTCCATATAAAGTTCAATAAACTGGTCAAGTTTCACTTCGATGTCATCCACCTGAAAGGGAAAAGATGGTAGTAGTAACAGTAGTAGTAGTAGCTGTTGAGGGCTTTGAGGTTCTCACAGCAGTAAGTATGAAGATGGCTGTCTTCTGGGCTGTACTGGGCACTTGCTGCCTCCATCATCAAGGCTGATGATGGAAGCAGGAGGCAGCAAGTACCCGTGAAATATTGGTAAACTTCTACCACACTTCACAGCATTAAAACCCAGAAGACAGACATCTTCAAGTTGAGGGCTATTTTAAGGTACCTAATATACCAACATTTTTCTGGAAGAGCTGGAAAAAAAAGCGTGAAAACCCTCAGTCAGCATAGCCAGTCGCTGAATCAAAACTTCAAATATGTAACCTCTCAAGATATGGAGCAGAAGTGATAATAACTCAAATGTGATGTCCAGTGATGACAACAATGATTATTGAATGATTGATTCAACTGCTGCATATCACACAGTGTAATGGTAGAATGACTATAAATGATGAAATTATAAGGATAAAAAAGAAATAGTGTTGGCTTATTTTAAAATGCTATCTCAGCAGCCTCCCAGAGAAACCTAGTAAAACTATGAAAAACCTCAGTCAATATAAGCAGCCTGTGGGTCAAGATTCAAACTTGGAGCTTCATGAGTATGAAGGAAAATCACCAACACTCAACTGAGATGTCTTATATGATGATGAAGGTAGTTGCACATCAATTAAGACTACATAAATTAGAAATAATTTTACATCTATGAGACTTAAGGTTTTCACAGTGACGATGTCAATATTGGTCTTCTGGGCAGTAATCATGCATGGACTTGTATGTACCAACATTTTGGAGGAACATACAGCCGCCATTTCCAGTATGTTCCTCTGGAGCATTGGTATCTACCTGCAAGTCTACATAGCATTAGCATCCAGAAGACCAACATTGACAAATACATATTTGCTTTTGAGGCTTGACAATAGGAGTCACTGTAATGGGTACAGAACTTGTCCATTATTTTAGTAGATAATATAATATTTCACAAGACATTTTACAACATAGAAACAAATGGATAAAGAACTATAATTCAGAAATATAAAATGGCACAACTTGTAAACATAGTTTAAATAAATCACATGGAAAAACTGTTTATGGGCTGGCTACGTTGAGGCTTGTTGCTGAAGTGTGTCATTCAGTGCAAAATATAATTCTTCATGACTTTGTTTAACTTTATACATTTCATCATTCCTAATTAAAACTACAATTGCTATGCTGAATAATATTGACTCATAAGTGGGATGAAAATTATGTATGTTAATGAGTTAATGGTTAAACATAGGAAGACATTATTTATTCTATATTTATTTTTAAGACAAAGTCTTTCTCACCTGTCTTTCAACTTTGACCACTCTTGAAGCTAAACTAATTTTGGAGGCATAAACATCTTTTGCTTTGGATCCTTGCTTGCCAAGTATCTGGTCCAACCTGTAAAAAATCTTTGAGGTAATTTCTATTGGATGTATACAGACAAACAGTACTCTTTCAAAGTTTGGTGTTATGTTATGAACTTAGCGTGGAAAGCTTATATATGATGTATAAGAGAGGATAATTTCCAATTACTATAATTTCACATAATTCTCTCCTATTTTTTATATGAAAATGATGAAAAGGTATTTTCAGTTATAGAATTTAGTCATTATTTGGACTGTGAGTCACATTTAAAATTTTGAAATTATTAGCTATGTTAGCTCTGAAAACAATAAGAACGTATTCAATGAAGGCACTCTTTTATAATATACAATTCCATTACAGGATATTTCTTCATGTAGGCTAACATATATTCTAACTAGTTTTATGCTTCATACTTTTCTCGTAAAATGCAGATTGTGGCAAACACCTTTTCTAATATTTTATTGTCCTTGCTGTCCTCTGCCCAAGTGACATGATGAAGAGATCTACATCTGAAGTGTGAGTATCAATCAGACAGACTTTGTAATTTCCCAAGTATAAGCTGTGATACAGTTGAATGCTCTGACATTAACACAGAAACATCTGCATATGTAGCCTTTGGAATGAGAATGCAATGTCTTTACTGAAGATCAGTGGATCAACTCTTCATATGAGAGAATCAATTGTTTTGTAATTTAACAAATTAATTCAAAACTGCCTTCAGAATTTTAGAATATAAAAGTTGTGCTGTATAACACTTTAACAAAATATAGTTAATGGAAATACTGTCATTTGCTTCAGCAATGACCAAGTTATATAACAAGATCAAACCTCTATAGTATTTGAAGAATCAGAGTCCAGCTTATATCACTTTTATAAAATTTTATGACTTTTTACTTTTAATTTTCATAAAAGTTACTGTTCTGAATATATACATTATATGAAGAACCTTCGCTTTATGGCAATGAATTAGAGGTGTTTGTATTTTCTCATTAAAAAATGTCAAGGATTGTAAATTAGAACTATTCAAGGGGAAATATACATAGCTATTTATAGACAGTCTTTTCTTCGTTTCAAATATTTTATGTAATATGGTCCCTAATTTTATGGAAAAACATTATCTTTCAAAAAATGACTTGTAAGTTTCAAGAATATATAGATAAAATAAATTTCATTCCTTATTTTCTTTCTGTTTAAATATCAGTAGCTAAAATATTTACTCCACACATTATGTGCCATTTATTTTTTATTAATTACAAATATTTTGCTGCTGGTGAGTACATACAATGATCTAAAAAAGAGAGACAACAGATATTTGAAGCTTTAGAACAAAAAGTTTGTATATATTACAGCTGATGAAAAAGAAGCAACACTGAACTGATTAATAAACCTACCTGAATTGAAGGTTTCTAACTCGGTTCAAGAGTTCTGCATGCCCAGAAGAATATTGCTCTATCACATCCTTAACATCATAAGGTTTAAGAGCTTCTCTGAACTTCTTACGTGCCACAAAATACTTCAGCTACGGGCAAGACAATAAATAAACACCATTCGTAACCGTGAGACACACCACAAACCACATTGACGAAGAGACATACCACAAAACAGAAGACATTACATAAGTGTTTGAGCACAACAAAGAAACTTGCATGTCAGTTCTTGCAGTTTTTATGTTTCCTTCTGCAAATAATGACTTGCTTGATCATATTTATCTGTCTGCCAACAACCATTTTTAAACACCAAGTTAAATAAAACTCAAATTGGCTTTTGTCGTGCAACATAATATAAAATACATGTATCTTATATTCAGAGATGCGGTAAGATGGGTAACACGTGCACCTACACCCTCACAAGATATATAAATTTGGCTAAGGAAACAATTGTGAAGATAGGAATTATAACCATTCTATCAACAATGTAACTGCTGGTACCATAGTACCTTTGCTTCAAATAACTAAAATTCAATAGAATAAAAATCGAATTGTAATAATTTGAAGAACCAAATGAAATTTGAGATTATAATCTGTTAAACTAGTTTATGACATGATAAATAGATAGTTCCTGTAACTCCTAAGTGGAGCATAGGGCCTCCTTTTGGAGGTTTCATAGTCTTTAAAGCGTGCATTTAAGAGTAGTGAGTGACTAGCCCACTGACTCTGCACAATTTCTACACACTCCTGATTTGACTGCCAGAGCCATCTAGCAGTGAAGCAGTGAATCAGGAGAGACTTGGGTGAGAAATGGCCGCTGAATTTTTTCTTACTAAACATCTCGTATCATGCTCGCAAGGTTCTTTTACATGCTGTAAATCTATGACATGGGACCGCCGGCTTTACTTCCCCTCCGAAGGAAGTTGTGCTACGCATTTGTATCACCCAGCAATTAATAAATACTGAAGAGCAAGAAATACCATCTTACAAATTGATTTATAATTGTAAGGAAGCATTTGCTTATATATGACCAATGAGTACTGATACTGAACACAATGAAATAAGCCAAATTTTCATAAAGATATACCACCTTTATACAAATTTTTGTTATACTAATAATAAATTTTTTTATAGATGTCTTTCTGTCTACATTCAAAGTGTATAGTTATTGGATTTTAATTGTATAATTACTGCAGAAAGAAGAACAGTGAATTTCTAATAAATTTCAAATTGTTACTGTTCAGAACAATGAGGTATATTTTGAGATAGGTGAACCTTTTCAAGTAAGGGTATTCTTAGAAATGTGCCACTCCACACTCCAGTTGTGCAAAACATGTTTACAGACACATATCCTCTTTTCAGAAATAAATCACATTTCACTTGCCTTTCTAAGAGCTATACTGCATTATGCATTCATGATAAATATTAGAAATGAAATCTCTACACTGAATCTATGTTGAGAACATTCTAGAATTAATCATTATAATTCTGAAAGACAAATAACATCAAAGAAAGAAATGACTGAAGTGCGATTATTTCTCTTGCTCATGCCAGCTTCAGAAGGAAAGAAAGCTTTGCAGTATTGTTAGTACTAAAGACTAATGACTTCCAACCTCTTTTCAGTCACACCTTACATTATGAAACTTATACCACCATAGCAAGTGGATCAATGGTATAAAAGTTTAAATTTCCAAATTTCCAGCACGAGAGCACAAAAATATGACAGAAACCAACTATGATAATGATGATGGTGGTGGTGGTGGTGATGATGATGGTAGTAGTAAAGGGACACAAAAAACTGTAAAATGAGTATCAACAGTGAGGTGTGTTTTACAGGTTGGAAGCCACTACTAGACAATGGCACAAGAAGAAGAGTAGCAGTGAAGATGTTTTACTGCAGCATCACATGACGAGACGCACTAACAAGAACAAACATGAATCAATCAATCAATCAATGCATTCCACAGCATGTCATACTGTTGACACAGTTCACACATACACACAAAGACTGGAGTTAGACAAGCCGAGACCACAACACGTGATGGTGCTAAGACATAAGAGCTACCATTCAATTCCTAATAACTTAGCAACTTTGCCGACTTGAAAATGAGATCCGGAAGCACACAAAATATAACATTAATACAATTTCTGTCTTCAGCCAGAGACTGTATATCCTGACTAAGGTTTTCATGGTTTTCCTCAGTCCCTCTAGTCAAATACCAGAAATAGTACCTTAATTAGGCTATAACCATTTCCTTCCATATACATTTCAAATCATTTCTCATTAATCATCCTATTATTTGACACCATATAGTATGACCTACTGACAGCATCATTAAAGAAGCTACAAATTTGGTATTTGGCACAGGGATAAGAGAAGTGAGTGAGAGGACGTTCTTCAGGTGCTTCTTAAATTGTCAAAAAGTTAACAAATGTTCTATTTCTGAAACAGGAATAGATGTCAGTGTTTCCCATAACACCTCTCAGGCATTCAGCTGAATTACATTTCAACTCATCTTGTTAAGTGACAAAGTAATACAAATTACATTTCACTTGAGGTTTTCTTACCAAGCAGTGAAAAAATAAGGCATTGTGGAGACATTAGAAAGAAAAGAAAAACACTGTAATTTAAAATCTGAGTCAAGTTTTTTGTTAAATAAAATATTTACTGTAATTTAAGATATATTAATTTTGATTATCCATGTCAGACTGATGGTACATAAGTAGAGAAGCAAATGTTAAAGCACATACAGACAGTAATATTTCATACTGCGTGTCTTCTATGTAGGTCACTGAGAGTTTACAATATGTCTCTCCAGCTACCAGTTTCTCAGGACTTTTGTTCTGAATAGTCCTATTATCTTTCCTTACATGGAATCTACAAGGTTTCTCCCCCTTCAAGTTCACAGTACAAAAAGTCATTCATACGTTATGAGTATTTATCTGTACAAATATTGGGATACTGGTAAAGAAAAATTCTTAATTTAAAGAAAGAACACACAACTAAAGCACTGAGATTAAATTATGAAAAATCAAACAATTTAGTAAATTTTATGTTCTAAATGTTCATGGAACAAGAATCTAGCAGCTGATGTTGAACTGCTTACCAAGTATATTTTTCCTTTTTCAGCCAACTTTAAAGTACTTATTTTTGTTGAAAGCTAGTTCATGTTTCTTTGTCTTTCAATGTCTTAACAACAAATAAAAATTGTAATAGTCTATAGGTATTATCAAACATAAAAATATTTAACATCAAAAACACAGAGGCCTTATCATAATTAATACATCTGTAACATTACTGAGTTTACTCTTCAGTATTTAGATAATGAGTAAGAATTTTAGAAAAAACTGGTGTTGACATGGAAGGACCAAAAATTCCAGGCAAGGCCACTGGACTCAGGATTATATTTGTGCACTGTCTGGTTATGAGTTAGAGCTGGCAATAACTTATGGATGTGTAAACATTATTCAGAACTAAAATTTCACTCATGTCTCACTTCAAACTCCTGGTAACCTCATCATTGCAGTGAAACTCAGAATAATTTATATAATGTAAGGAAGTGAATGATATCTCTTGGAAAGAATGTTACACATGGTAAGCTGTTGGAACTCAAAGAACATAGCACATTACTGTTAGCACCGGGGTACATCAGCTGCAACATATTAAGTGGTAACAGAACCCATCCTCCACAACAAAATCACAAAATGGATTACTGGAGAACATAACTTTGTCTCCATTTGAATTGAAACAATTTTGTACCAATGAATGAGTATGCATTTCTGTAATGAACAATTATAATATAATAAAAGTGAGTTTCATAATGTGTACTCCTAACCATATATTATTATGGTCATGAAGTTTAGGGGGTGAGATGGGTGGGGCACATACAGTGTACGGCAAAGATAAGAAATACATACAGAATTTTATCTGGAAAATGTAAAGAAAGGGACTATTTGGGAGACCTAGGCATAGATGAGTGACCACTCCGTCTCTTCCATAGAGTTAGGATTAAGACAATAATTCTTGGTAAGAACTTACATATGGTCCAGTTAGCTGCACGTCACAGTAGCATATGCTAAACTGTTAGTCCCAGATTTAAAGTTTGACCAATAGCCCTGTAGTACTGGGGTTTAAATCCTGTATTACCATATGATAAGTATTAAAAATAAAAAACAGCTGTATCTTCTTATAGGTTAAAACTGATTTGTATTGGATTCAATTTTGTGTGACAAAAAGTTATGAGGAAGCTTCGGTGAACATCCACAATTTCATTTGTGGTCCAAGAAATGTCCATACCTTGTCAAGTGTTTCATCTAATACTTCAATGGCTGCAGTGAATCTAAGAAAAATGTAGCAAAACCTGATGCGTTTCTCGAGCACAAAACTTTATTAATGTATGTCATGTTTGGTAAACATCTTCAAGAAATGTGATTTTATTTAATTAATCCATTTTTGTTAAAATTTGAAGTCAACTGATTCTTAAGTTCTTTTATGATGTTATTTAAACTGTAACATGTCATCTGAGATTATGAACGATGAGCAGGAAAGGATTTTGAAAGATATGGTCATGTTTAGCATTTTTCTATATATGAGACAATGAAAGATGTTCATCATGAGACTATGAACTCAAAGGAGACAAACATTTAAAAAGATTAAGACAACTTTATAAAATAAATATATGAACTCATAGCAGAAAACAGTGACTATAACATTCTTATTTAGAACTAGTTACCCATACATTTTTAGAATGTACTTTTAATTGTGTTCCTCAACGGTGTACTGATATAACGACAACTTAAGACAGTGTTACTGTATTACCATCTTTACACCCAGATATAGAGGATCTGTGTCACAATATTGCACTAAATCAGTATGAAGGTAACTGTGTTGATGATACAAATTTACCTAAGAAATATGGGGCTACCAATATCCACAATATATATACCATCTCCTACAAATAAATTTTGCCTGTAGACCTGTAATGAGTCAACAGGCAGTATTTTGACATTTTTCATGTTATTTTGTTTTATAGGCATAATTCAATATAAAAGTATATTTTAAAGTAACATAATTTTTCTTCTATCTTTTAAATACATACTGGTTTATTGATGTTATACTGATATATGAATTGTCAAGGTTAAAGGAGGAATGTGTTGCAACACATTTGAAGGTATAAATGCAATGAGAGTATAATAAAAATAATAAATAGGAACTAATGTTGTGTATTCTATGTTTTTTGGTTTAAATTTGAATAATTTCTAAGCATATCATTCAAGAGGACAGTCAAATTTTATGAAACAGTTTACACTGATATGATTGAAATTATTACACAACTGTATTATGATGCAGAGTTCCAGAGGATGGGTTTGTTTACACAGTCCAAGGTTCTCTTCAGGCTGCGACAGACAGAGACTACAATATTGAGTACCTCTGTTGCACGTTCTTAACCCGGCCAAGCAAGTCAACATGCCCCGCTGAATACTGCTCAATCACATCCTTTACATCGTATGGCTTCAGTGCCTCCTTGAACTTGCGTCGAGCTACAAAGTACTTCATCTATAGCATTAAATGGAGTGGGAAGAAAGAAAAAAAAACAATATCAAGCTGGATACTTATCATTTAATTTTATTTATCTGAGAACAGACTAGCTTTATTCGTTGTTATTTATAAAATCTGTCATAATATTTGCATAACGTTTTGTATTATATTGAACAAAATAACCGATCATTCTACTAAAATAATTTTAGAAGATAGTAAGTTCTTTATAAATGGCAGTAAAGTAACAAAAAAGCAAACATCTACATTATATTCTCAGCCTGGCTGTCCGGTCTCCTGGATCATTTCATTATAATTTACCAATAAAGCAAGTATGATAATTTTATAATTGGGAAATGGAGAAGCAAGAACCCATAAAATCTTTGGTAGAAGGTAACATTACACATTTTGTCCAAACTGCGAAATTTATCAACGCAGAGTTTATGTAGACAGAATAAAGACTCTGGGAAGAAAGTTGGTGAATTGCCTTGTATGGAAATGAAATTTGATCATATTTCATTGTTGTACATTTTAACAAGTGACTGCTAGACACATTTAAAATTACAAACAAGTTATTTTGCAGTTCTACTTTATGATACTTTGTGATAAGTACAATATTTAGTAAGTGTTCTAATTAGAATTTCAGATTTTCATGGCACTAAATCTGAAGATGGCTGTCTTCTGGGTTGTAGCACCATGTAATCCGGTAGAAGGTTACCACCGTTTCAGAGGTCCTTGCTGCCTCCATCATTAGGGCAATGAGACTTATGATGGAGGCAGCAAGGACCTCTGAAATGCTGATAAACTTCTACCAGACTACACACTGCTACAACCCAGAAGACAGCCATCGAAAGTGTTATAATCATAAACTCTTTTGCAATCAGTTCTCCAGTAATCTGTTTGGGTTTAACAAGGAATTTTTCAGTGGACGAAATACATGCTACTCAAGTGAGCCTGTTTCTATCGTCATTATGGTTTTGAATTACTAAATTTTTATTTACATGACACAAAACAACGTAGATTGTACTCTGTCACTATTGTAACATACAACTTGCTCATTCGATTTTCTGTTAAACATTATACAAGTTTTATAACTATCTCTAATTGCTCTTATATCTAAATAAAAGACACAAACCTGAAAATTTCATAACAAATCATGTCATTTTTGTTTCTTACAGATATTGTAAGGACCTAGATTTTACAGAATGCTGCAAACATCAAAACTAAGCACCACATAAGAATGGCAGTAAGGCCATATTTGTTTGTTTTGGTGAAGAGATTACAGGAATTGTAGTCACAAACACAAAAACTCTCTTGGATTCAAGTCTCGAAGGTGTCTGCTGTAGGGACAATAATAATTCTTTTCTATGATATTCAAGGATATATATGAAATGATCAGGCAATAAAAATTGTTAAGAAATGTAAGCATATGTCAAATTTTCCCAATGTAACACTCCAAGCACTCTGCTAGTATATAAATAAATATAAGTGTTGCTTGACCAAGGGAATGTACACAAGCCCACCAAGCATAAGGACTCATAGCTCGCCTATTCTTTATATAATGCAGCAGATGTGACATTATATTGGTATATAATCTATATTATGTGGTTTATGTTAATTGAAGGGCAAATTTAAGTAGCCATGTGGAACTGAGTTATGTCCCCTCTGTGGATATTATCTGGTAATTTGGAAAGTTATACTGATTCTGAATGAATAATTTAGTCTTATAACTATACTCCCATATCCACAGAAACATGTTACCCAAATTTACAGATAATTTAAAATTATTTTATTAGATGAAGCAGCAAAACACAGTATATAACTCAAGCTAGTCTGAGTCTCAGAGAAATATGTATTTTATTACAGAAGTGGTTTTATGTTGATTTGACTACTGTAATTGTGGAATGTTACTTTATTTTAAATGTTACACAATATTTTAATCAAGTCACTGCCATGACAAAATCATAATTGTTAATCTATTATTATTGTGAAAATCAGCACAATTAATATTTTTGTAGATGAATACATATAAATGAAAACCAAATTATTAATAAATCCAACAAACCTCAAACCAAATGAAGTACACTTGAAATTAAGTTTGTAGATCTGGATGGTCATAATTGTGTTATACATACACATACGAGTGATGTATAAGATACATAATGATGAGATAATATTCAGTAGTGGAAACATTTTATGGTATAGATAACCTGGAAATCTGCTGAACTCTCAAGAAATGGGGGAAAAACAGAGTAACGGAAATAAATGGAAAGATCTAAAATATGATAAATGTAATAACTGGAAAGGCTTCAAAATATTAACATTAAGCTAAGACTTTTTATAGAATAAAGATATATACAGAAAATATAAAATATATGAGATTTCTGATAAAGATACTACTATAAGTACTAGAAACATGGACATGTTTTAGAAGAGAGGAAGGTACACCGCAAAGAGATGGAAACTTATTAAAAAGTCAATCCACAAGTTTGGAAATTATTTTAGGAATAAGAATAATCTGGTACTCAACCTAATGAATTACTAATTACATTTTCTATCATTCCGTTTCATTTATAGGTATCTACACACATCTGTTACAAGCTAAAACCACTCCTGTTAAACAGTCTGTGTAGATGTACAGAGCATTTTAAAAAAGTGATATTGCACTGATGGTTTCTAGTTTCTATATAAGCAATTTGGTCAAAATAACACAATTGTTTCTATTACTATAAGCACACAGAAAGTAATGCCCAAAATATTTTTCTGGATTTATTTTCTTACTTTTTCTAAATCTGATTAATATAAATTCTTTGATCAAAGCTAGTACCATTTTGTAATCACTCAATTTATACAAACAACAGACTGTATTTAATCACATAATTTGTTATTCCACAAAACAGAAGGGAATAGTTTTCTCATTTTTAAGATGATGATAATGATGATGTAACAACAACCAATACATTTTATAGTCAAGAAAACAGAATTACTTCCAGTTAAAATATGCAGTTATTTTTTGTGTTGCACTGTCACCTCAAATCCACTGTATTCTGCCAAAAAGTAAGTCGAGTAGGTACGACGAATTTCAAGAATGAGTTCAAAAATCAATGACCAAAGAAATATCTGATAAACTGAACTTGGAAACTCAGCTTATGAGAAAAGCAAAATAAATTATTTTCTCCTAGAAGTTTAAGATGAGAAATTGTGTGAATAAATATAATACTCTTGACATCTTAAATTAAAAAAAGTATGTTAGCTAATCTGCACCATCTTCTTGTCATCTGAAATATCAAAGTGAAAACACAACATATTCAACTCCAAGAAGAAACATACTTAAGACACCTTCTATTGAATGACAGCTATAATGCCAAATTAGCACGATCCATTATTTTAAACTGTGTTGTAACACTTAGTGTTTGGGACTGGGATCAGTTTCTTGAGAGACAGTTTTAGTTTGATTTATGAAAATATTTATCAATTACTTTTATTCCTTTATCCACGACACCAAAGATTTTGCTTTAAATATCAACCCCTAGTTTTAAACACTTTCAAACACTGTGTCGGAACACCTACATTCAGTCTCTAACAACACTTGTGGTTAATATTTTCAGTCTTCATGTTCCTGAAAGTTACTTTATTGCAATGATAAGAAATGATTTGTGGTATAAATTATAAATAAAGTCACATAAATATGATTTAAATGTTTAGAAAATCAGATTGTAATTCTATTGTAAATGAGCCGGGATAGTTCAGTCAGTATAGTGACTAGCTACGGGCTGGACGACTGGGGTTCGATCCCCGGCGGGGGTAGAAGATTTTTCCTCTAGCATCTGCTCTGGGGCCCACCCAGCCTCCTCTACAATGGGTACCATGGTCCTTTCCCGGGGGTAAAGCCGGCCGGGGCGTGATGCCGACCACTTACCCCATCTAGTGCCGAGGTTAAGAAAGAGAGGAGCTATACCTCCACTCACCCCAAGCGCCTACATGGCGTATAGTGGTACAAACTTTACTATTTTACAGTATAAGGGCTATTTGTAGAAGAAATAGCTTCCTTTCATATTATTTTCAATTACTAATTTATAATCGTTCTCCCATTCAAAGCTACATAACCAATGCAGTTGAATTGTTGCGAAGTATAAGAACGAACCAGGTATATCTTGATATACACCCAACTTAAATTTTATGTTCCTAGAACGACATTGCTGTGATACCTAAAATTAATTCATAAAAATATATTTCACTCTGTGGTAGTTTACTGATTTGTTCTTAGATTATTGAATGACACTGCTTCAACTGCAGGGGTTATATAGCATGGATCAGGTGGAAATGAAATGAAATGATGATGACATGAATACGAAATGATTTTGAAGCGAAAAAGCCTATTCCAATGCACTAACCCACCAAGTATGAGAGGAAAATCACGAGAAACATCATTCAGAATAGCCAATATCACAGCCAAGATCTGAACTGGGTAACTGTCGAATACAAACCTACAGTGCTACCACTACAACACAGTTGGACGTACACAGCAGAATTTAAGTTTCAAAAATAACATTACAGCAGTTCTTAAAGAAATATGATGGAATGGTGCGGATTGGATTCAAGTGGATCAGTGGGGGTGTCTTTTAAATACGGTAATGAATCTTAGGTATTAAAATGTGGAAAATGTCTTGGCCAGCCGAGCGACTTTCAGCTTCCGCTCCGCGGAGTGCGTTAGTCCTAACTGGAATAAAATGTAAGAAGTCATTCTTTCCCCAGAGGGGACGCACACTTATTTGATATTTCCCTCGTATTCCATAATCATTTCTATTATTCTACTTGAAGAACAGTACATAGAATTTTACGCAAGATGCACATTACATACTATATAAAGGAACATCCCAGGTTCTGCAAGGACACTAAAATGCTTCCAAAGTGATACAAAATTTCAGTTAAGTAGATTTAAACGCTTCTGATAACTGGGCCTGCCAATTTTCAAATTTACGTGCGCTACCTGGTTAAAAATTGACTTCCGACATTGATAAGCAAATGCTGTATTACCTTCCGTATCGCTCTGATGGCACCCTTATGTTGATTTGTGAGCTGCACGCACCGCGGTTCTTCGTCTTCATCTGGAATAAACCAACAAAAAGGACACAGTCACTCCATACTACAGAATCCACGCATCGTCTAAAGCCGCGAATGGATTACGTTTAGTCTGTCTTAATAAAGACGCTTTCTCCAAGTTAAAACGCAATACAAATCAAAATAAAATATTTTAAATGTTTTATATCCCATGGTAATTGTTTAAAACGAATTAACTTGTTTTTGACGAACAAAATGCTGAAATCACCTAAAGATATATTTTTATTATTTAAAACAAGATTTTTTTTAAAAATGACCGGGTTTAGTAGCTACGCAATTAGATAAAATTTAGCCTAATATTATAACTTGCAAAACGTTTTAAATATATTTACACATTTTCTATGTAAAACATATTATGCCTACTACAAACACGATGACACAAAACAGGGTAACCAAAAAACAATTACAGTACCTACACGTGTTAATGAAATATCTGTTTAGTGTTATTTGCTACGTATTTTTTGGTCACCCCTTGCGTTCTGTTAAGATTTACGTAGTGTATTTACAGGCGTTAAGTGTAGTGTTGCAGTCTATCAAGACATTCTACGTACGTACGTCAACCACAAACTACAGTGACACGCGGTCGCATACTTATGGAAGAATGGCGATACAAACAAGTGTGGGGACATTGTTGTATCCTGAGTTTGGTTTACTTGCTTATAACGGATTAGCATTTTGAAGCAATACTGAAGAGCTTAGTGGTTCCGTCAACTTCCTATGACGCTTAGTCTATAGTAAAGAACTCGAAATGTCGATAGGCTACTAGCCCCCAAAGCTATAATTTTCCTCCATTACCTCACGACAGATCAAGATTTATTACTTTCAATTTCCTCTCACTTCACAATCCATAATTAACTAACAGTTCGAATAGTAAAGGAGGTTATGAGTTAATATAATCCACAAAAACAAAATGACCGTCCTTGTTTACTTTATCTTAATTAAAGGACATGGCTAACTCCAGAGGATAAAATGTATTAAAGCCATGAAGATTTCTGTCTTCATACTCACCGCTGTGAAAACCTCAAATCTTACATATTAAAGCCATCTTAGTAATTTTTTAATTGTGTGCTTTAACAGCCATCTTAGTAATTTTTTAATTGTGTTGCGCGAGTGCTTTAAAGTACACACGTTTTAAAATGTTGGAGATTCGATATATGGATGAATAAAATTAGGCATATACATAATATTTTCGACATGATTCTGTCTTACTGCCAAATCGTGCGTTGAATCTGTATGAAATGCCTGCTCATACCATTTCGCGGTATGAAACCGTAGAACTACAAAGACCGGTCATTGTAGACGTTGCGATTGGGGAAAAAATGTATCTCCATTCTTGTCAATACATTTAGATATATTTATTCAAACTAAAACGACGAAATAATTTTTATATGAAGATAAACATATTAGTAACAGATTTATCTGTGCTGGTGACTTAATATTTCAGTTATAATTGCATGCACACTTACCTCAGAATGAGATGAAGGATTGTCCACCTTAGGTGTTCAGCCAATAATCTTATCATCATCCAAACTAGAGAGCAATGCAGCTAAATGCCATTCGCTATTGTCTGTAAGCATCTTGCATTAGTTCTTGAGTAGTGACATAAACATGCAGACATCATTCCATCTCATCGCAAAAGTAAATGAAAAGCTTGGTGAAAGTGTGCCCACATCTCTCTGTAAAATGTATCAACACATTGGTTTAGAATTCTTTCGTCGGATTTAGTAGGCCTATTTACTTTAATATTTATGTCTACGTGGAGGAAGGGGAGATACAGACGACAGTATACGTGTTAAAAAATAACTTCTGGGCCAAGTTTAAAATCATCCACGGCTATTGGTATATTACCATTTGTTGATCCATTTCTGTCTATAATTTGTATTTGTTCAGGTTCTTATACCGTTAAGATTGCCAGATAACATTTTTAACAGCTCCCATATTTAGGTTATGTCTTGTGACTATCATTTCAGAGCAAAGTTTAAAAGAAAGTGCAGAGCAGTCAAATGACTGGCCTCCCTTTCGCTGCACCTCAGTCCATGACTTTTATTTTTGAAGGGTAGGTTACGTAAACGATAAAATTTTCTCCTCAAAAGCGACGTCACCACAACATTTAAAAGAAAGGATGTCGGGAACTACAGTTACCCAGAGTACTCATGGTAAAACCTGAGTTACGGTTTGTATGATGTACGTCGAGCTAAAAAATAAACTAATGCCGAAATAAGGTAATAACCCGGTTATTTGTATCTTACTATTTTGTTCTGTTTTATCGCTTTCAATATTTAAATCTGAAATTCAACACTATTTTATAAAAACTCTGTTTTTGTATGGGCTCGTGATTCACAGATACTGCATCAAATTTTTCAACATGAAATTCTCCTGTGCTTAAGATAGTCTGGGTTTATTACACATAAATTATCTGCAGTAACAGGCATATAATCTAAGACTAAAGGAACTTAAATACATATATGAACGTTAAGCAATCATATCTTATAATCCTTTCGGCCATTTTCCAAATCCATTTAAATACAGCAATTTCGTCTTTTAGGTTCCTCACCAAGCTGCAGGAAACAAATTTAAAATTTCTCGCCCAATTTCAAGTTTCTTAGTTATAGAGGGACGCAAAAATGTAGTCTTTGTTTTTTCCCGTATGCTCCAAAAATCTATGAAAACGTAATAATTGTCTCCTTTAAGTCTCCCACCAGCTGATATAAGACAAAGAACACATTACATTCACCAAGTCCTTCACTTTGATACATGACAATCATAACTATAAAGCAAATTACAAAAATATATTTACAGTATCACAGAAAAAGCGAAATGAAGTGTGAAACACATACCAGCATGACACACGCAGACTATATTAGACCAGGTGCAAATAAGACACAAGGAGTCCCTATTAAGCACATGGAAACAGAGAGCGTAAGAAACATAACAGGAATAAGGAATGGTTCGTTGACGTTTAGGAAGAAAACACTATTTCTTCTTAAAACTGTAATGGCAAACTACCCTCACTAAGGCAAAATATGTAGTTCTGTATAAACTGCAATACAACGCGACAGTAAAAATTCAATATAATATTTAAAATCTGAGTTTAATAGAGTTACAAAAACGTATTTATATATGATCACTGAGATTTATTATTAAAAAGGACTCTCTATTGGCATAGTTTTTGGCCAGACCATTCGTTTACCTTGAACGAAGAAATGTCAAGGTAAAATGTAAATATCTCCGCCTATGAGCATTACTTAGAAGCTCAGACAATGTCAGCTTATCTATTCTGTAGCATGAAGAATATTAGCTGTATTTTTGCAATTTTCAAAACTGAACGGTTAACACGGTATTATTTACACTCCAAAACAAAAAAAAAACATTAAGTGTATGTTGTTTTGAAATACGGTACACACATTTTCATTTTATTCATAAGATAACAGGCTCAATAAAGCAGCATGGAAATAATTAATTGAAATTGTGTGATGTTCATTTGGCGTAGGAAATATGCTGAGAACATACACAGAACAACGGACAGACCACAAGTTACAAATAAACGTATTACACTGGACGGACACAGAAAATTAAACACCAGGCCTACTAAATTTCTTTTACATAAGAATTGCGATATATTGACGTGAGAAGCAGAACATGTTAAGATGGAACTGTATGAATCCTCTAATCTACCGTGTTCGATACGAAATATGCAGGTTCCAATGCACAATGAAGCCTGCTAGGAGTGGAAATATTAATCTGTAAAATATATTGTATTTATTCAGTTTTCCACAGGTTATGAATACCTTCAGTAAACAAACGTCAAAAATTCTATTTTCAATGCCATTCATAACTGAAATTTATAATAATTAATTCTTAAAATGATAAAACTTCTTAAATATAAGCTGTCTTAAGACCTGATTTTATATTCAAAACTGTGAAGCAGTACTTCGATAAATATCGATAGCGGCGGGATATTCCAAATTGATCTAATAAATAGTACCACAAATAGGAGGCTTCAGCGATTAGTTTTATTTTTTTCGAGGACGGGTAATGAATGTGCTGTCACAAGTAGAGACTATTATGTAAGTGGCACTTCGAAAAATGGTTGCCACGAGTTGCTTTCATTTGATGTTATCCCTCTTATGTTTAAGTACGTGTATAAGGATTTAAAATGGTTGTTTTTACATTGTATGGATTCATATTTTTACGGGCTCAATACTAATATTTCAGAAGTATCGTCAGTGACAAATTTAATGCATCTCTAAGATATATATATAAATAAATAAAGATTTATACGCACAGCCAACATACGTCAGCATTGTGTATATATATTTTTTCAGATACCTGCATAAAATATATTAGTTTTAATTTTCTATCAACATTTAGTACAATTCAATATCAAAAGTAGGCTTAACTCATTACCATAATGTCTGGTAGCGACAGATATTAAAACTTTGTGAGTAAACTGCAAATGAGTGGTTTGTTTGTTGCACAGAATAGCGTTCCGAAACTTTCCTTCATTTGTCAGACACACGACGGCAAGCCACAAAATGTCACCTCACGAAATCGGGGTATTCGAACTTTTAATGCAGACATCTTCACATGGCCATAAATATGTATCTACCTATAAATACTTGCTCTATAAGTATATGAAAGCAAACCATTACACGTGTTGGATAAAACTGTCGATGATTAAAGATACGAGTTGTTTTTCTCTAACTATAACGTCCGAATATGCAGTTTATTGCAAAAATTCGCGGCACAAATGAAACCTTGCAGCGGACACCGGATTATTGCGATATTTATAGATAACTTTCTCTGCAACTAATGAACATGACGGCTCTGTAACACCGTTCATTGGTCAACAGTTCTCCGCTTCACGTTTGAATACTGAAACATCTTACAAAGTCCGGAATGCATTTACGAAAAAAATATAACTCGGTAATATTTAAAAAAAATTACACACGAACACTATATTTCTGTGAATAAATTATGTAACTAA